GTCACTAGCCAAGGCAAGAGGCGCGCCTGGGACACAATATCCCAAACAATCAATGCCTCTTTTCCACTGGTGGTGCGGACAGGCGACGATTGTGAGAAAAGGTGGTATGTGCTGCAGTCCAAGGCAAAAGATGAGATTGCAGCACACAAGCGGGAATCCTCACTCACAGGTGAGCAAAATACTATGGCCTACCACATAATCTGGCAATTTGCTCCTGCTGGCAAAGTTAATTTACATGCCTAAGTACTGTGTTCATTGACTGTTTCTTTCTAGGGGGTGGACCACCTGCAAAGCGGCTGTCCCAGGTGGCCGACACTGTCTTTCAAGTCCTGGGACACTCTGAGGTCAGTGTCACCGGGCTGCCAACAGGCATTGACACGTCAATGATGCAGGCCCTTGAAATGCAGCAAAGGTAGGACACAGGGTTATTCATATCAACAGTGTTTATTCATTGCAGAAGCCATTTCATGTGTTATCCATGCTCATTGTATTAAATTAATTTAATCAAAACAATAATTAAACTAGGCCTATGTATTTCTGTAGCATGGAGCCATCACAAGAACCGGGCCCATCAAGTTTGCCGCCTGAACCATCTGCAGCTGCTACTCAGGATAGCCCGGCGGATCAAACACCATTCCCATCCGCAGCACCTGCTCCGTCAGCATCCCTGCAGGAGAGAAGATTGCAACTCACAATTGATGTGTTTGAACAACAAAAAAAAGTCCTTTCCCTTCAGGAGGAGTACTACCGCCTTAAAATTGAACACCTAAAAAATAAACCATTTAGAGATTGTGTTCTGTGTCTTGCATTTAACAGTTGCAGGTGATGTGCAGTAAAACTGTGGTAGTTCTTAATACCATCACAAGTTCTCAAATGACATGGGGCTACAGCTTGCCTGAAATGTAAATTTGTGAAGTTTGCCCTGTAAGGCAGTCCACTCTGGGCTCGGTTCCCCTGTGGAATGTGAATATCTTCTTCACCACCATCCTCATCGTTGTCTCCATCCTCATCCTCATCGCCATCCTCCAGAGGTTCTGCAATCTGTCTAACCTTGCAAATATTGTGTAATATTGCACAGGCTATGATGACTTTGCTGACTTTTTCAGGCCTCAACCGCACCTCTCTGTGGAGAACATGAAAGCGCCTCTTAAGCTGGCCTATGCCACGCTCCACCACCGCTCTTGTTGTCTTGTGGGCCCTACAATAGAATACAGACCTTTAATTATTTGATGATAATATTGCACTACTTGGATGCTCTAACATATTGCTTGCATTTCATTTCCATGATTTTTGTATTGTTTGGCTTACCTGTTATAGTTTAGTTGGGGCCCTTGGCGTGGCTGGAGGTAAGGTGTAAGGAGCCATGGTTTGCATGGGTAGCCACTGTCCCCTAACAAGTGGCAATTAGCTGGCACATAGCGTCTCTCAAAAAGCTGTCTGATGCCACTCTCGGAGAGCATTCTCGCATCATGTGTGGAGCCTGGCCATTTAGCCACAATGTCCAAAATCTTCCAGGCCGCATTGAACACTATTTGCACATTGATGCTGTGGAAATTCTTCCTGTTAACAAAGACAGCCTCGTCCTCTGATGGCGCAATTATTCTCACATGTGTTCCATCAATTACACCCACAACGCCAGGGAATCCTGCAATGTCCATAAATGCCCTTTTATGTGTGTGTAAAGTGCGGGCATCCAGCGGGAATGAAACAAATTGTGTCACAATATTAGGTTGTGACAAAGCTGTCAGTGTTTGGGTGATGACTCTGCTGACGGAGGATTGGGACAGACCCAAGTCATCACTGCTGCATTGTTGCATTTTCCCTGTTGCCAAATACCTCAGGGTTGTGATTACTTTCTTCTCCGGTGTAATAGCGTTGTGGCGTCGAGTTGGTGAAGTAATTGCATCTCTAAGGAGATCCACCACAAACATGATTCCTGCACGATCCAATCTGTAGCGTCTCAATAATTCCCTGTCATCCAGTGTTTGCAGGACATCTCTCCTGCCTCCTCTGTTGGCCATTTTGTGCAGCTGCTTAGGGTAACTCCTAAGCCACTAAAAGTCCTCTTCCCTGCTCTTAGCAGATCTCGCCTTAGGAGCCCTTTTAAGCACTAGGACTCTTGAGGAATAGCTTTTATATTAACTGGGATTTTCGTGTCACTTTTAGGGGAAATTCTAAGAAAACGTCATGCCTCTGAGAATTTTCTTAGAATTTGGCCGCTAGGAGCCACTTTTTGCACAAAAATTCTTTAGAGATACGGGCCCAGATCTCAGTTTATGTAACAAGTCAATGTGCTGCTAAGAGTTTACCTTCATCGACTTTCTCAAATGACACACACATGATCGCAGTCCTTGACAACGCCGTGCTTGACAACGTTCCAAGGGGTTGAGCCACCCCAAAAGCCCGTATTTGATGGCTCCATCAGCGACATTTCACGCTAACTGTGGAGTGAGCATAAAGTACGTTCTTAACACTTAGGTGCACTACCTTTCATGGTTTAATTACACAATATTGGTGTTTTGAGTTGTTGTATTTTAACAGTGTAGGCTTTCTTTAGTGTATCAGCAAATTGAATTTATTTGATTAATTTTCATTGAATGATGGGAGGGCATCGCACTACTAGAGCACAGGCAGACAGGAGAGGGAGGTACTTGTTAACAACTCTGATTGACACAACCAGCAAGTGACACAGATTTCAATGTGCAATATAATTTATAACCAGTAGATGTCCGCCTTTTATCGATAATGCAGTAGTGGTAGCCTCTGTTCACAGATCCTGGAATAGATTTGCACACAAAGTAATACAACTGGTGCAGAATAGATGCATTATTTTCTGACCATGTGGTTCAGTACATAATAAAATGGAATTTCTATGATTCTTTTTCATCGTATGAGAGCATCAAACTAGCGCAGAGGCAGACCGGGGATCGCTGTGGTCCAGTTGAAAGGGCGGTACTTGGTATTGTCAATTAAATAAAACTATTTTTTGACAATTTGACACAACCAGTAAGCCACCCAGGTTTGATTTTATCTCAGCCTATTGGTTATTTTAGACCAGTGAGTCCGCCTACTTTACGAAAGGACATATTTTTGCACCGATCAGAACCCTATCCTTACTGCAAAGGGGCGTGACTTCAACGGGAAACAACGCACCAGAGCACTCTTCAGCCAACATATGAAGTCACCTTTCTTTGTATCCGCTAATCATGTTTTGCTTTGGGCGGGCTCGACGCACAACATACCATTAGAAAAATAAATCGTGAGTGGAAGTGTTTGACATGAGGATAAAGGCAACTGTCAGTCTGAGACGGGAACAGATTCACGAAGACGGATAACTGTACAAGCAAGTCAACAAAGGACGTATTTGTCAGATGTCCGAATCTGATTTTGGATATTGTCGCGGCTGTCCCATTTCCAAACGGAAACCACAGCTAGCTTATGTTCTGGACAGCAAGCACGCGCTAGCTAGTTAGCTTATTCTCTATTGTAGGACACGTTTCATCATTTAAAATACAAAACTGAATGTTGTTTCAGTCATGAGTCCGGCAGGGTGCTCACATGTGAACGCTTATAAGGTGGACAATTGGAGGCAAAACCTACGAGTCATATATCAATGCTTTGTTTGGAGCGGGAATGCTGAAACCAGGAGACGAAAGGTAAAAAGACAGGAATGCCAGAAACTGAAGCAAAACGGAATATAACTACGCACAGACACAGGGGCTAACGTTATGCATATAACGCCCCACACAGTTTCAAGCACACAAATGTACACCCACGTAACGTTACACTGTTTGAGTCTGGTGGTTCAATGCAGACACATTGCGCTAGCTAGCACACCACAGCTCGTTCGTTATGAGTGTGTGTGGAAACGCAGGGCATAAAGTTACCCCATCATCATGCTACCTGGGACCATTCAAGGCACATCAATCTCATCGGAGATACATTGTATCAATCAAACGATACTAACTAGTTCGATGTTGATGCCCAGTCATTAGATAATGTGTCTAGCTGGGTAATTGACACAGCAGAGTTACCATTATCCTAGCTAGCAAACAAAAGTCTTGACTTGATCATCACCATTTAATTAGCTAGCTAGATACTGTGTGCTACTGCAGGAAAATAAACACCACCAACAATGATGACGCGAGAACCTTGCTCTCCCCCTGAGCAAAACGAATAGTGTTTAGATAACTTGTATATAGCTAGTGAAGGTTGTGGTAATTTAGCTATGTAGCTAGTTAGAGCGCTAGCTGACATCTAGCCTGGTTTTGCTGGTTGGCTAGCTAACGTTACCGAGAAAATCTACCTAACCAGCGAATCACATTTATTTTAGGGTATCATCAACTGAACTTTGACTATAGCTAGCTATTGATCCCCTTTCTTAAAATGATACAACAATATATTTTTTGCATGCCAACATGACTGATGTGTCCTTACTAGAGATTACGTTACATAATTTATTTATGGGAATGGTTGGCTGCTTTGACCAGATCCACCCATTGTCACTAGAAACACCCCACTCCTGTATTGTTCAGTGAAGCATGCTCCAATCCCTCATTCAGACCAGGAAGGCGCAAGACTCGCACACTAAACTACCTGTTCGACCATCTGCGATCATATCCCCCCCCCATGACTTGCCAAGTAACCATAAATTAGGTTATTGGCATTTCAATTCAGTCACTGTCTCAAAATATCCCGACCTATAGGCTACTGATAGCAAGGATCTTTGCCAATTTGAGCAAATATTAGGCTAGCTAGCCTAAATTATCAACCTTTGTTTTTGCTTTTCTGACCTGTTTGTCCCTCAAAGCGTTCATGTTGTTATAGTGGCCTCAGCTAGTGTCCTCTACTGAATGAATGGTTTGGATTGATTGCTTTTGACTACACAAATCACTGTTCTATGTTTTTTTGTTTTTCACTGGCAATCACAGCACACCTTACATGTGTCATACATGTTTTATTTCATTGTTGATGAACTAGGTGCTTCAGAATGATGTCAGATGGACAGCATTGGTGAGTTGACAAACTCCTCCTTCCTCCTTGCACTAACATTAGCAGAGGCATATCATGTGGGTACGGTAAACCAATCACTGACATGCTTTCTCCCCTTTTTAGTCTCCCACACATGTCCATCATACTAGTGCTATGGCCATTCATAGCCCAGGACCGAGTTCAGAAAACCCTACTGTAGATGGATAGCAGTGGAGGCTGGTGGGAGGAGCTATAGGACGGGCTCATTGTAATGGCTGGAAGGGAATCAATGGAATGGTACCAAACACATGGTAACGTGTTTGACTCCGTTCCATTGAGTCCATTCCAGCCATTACAATGTGCCCATCCTCCTATAGCTCATCCCACCAGCCTCCTCTGACGGAAAGGCTGTCAGCTATCTGGACGGTTGCATAGATAGCCTAGCGCATAGTCAGGCAACACTTGATGTGTTTCTAACTGCTAAAGCTTTAGCTCAACTACTGTATTTGGTGAGAGACAGTGAGTACTGTACGATGACAGACAGACACGGGGCTGTCTCTAGAACAAACAGCTGTCGCCGGATGGTCGATGACCCTTTGTTTGTACAGCGCTACAGCAGTTCACTAGACCTTGCTGGTTGTTAACACACTCTCTGTTCAGGCTTTCCCTACCTCTCCTGTCCAGGCCCTCCCTACCACTCCTGTCCAGGCCCTCCCTACCTCTCCTGTCCATGCCCTCCCTACCACTCCTGTCCAGGCCCTCCCTACCACTCCTGTCCAGGCCCTCCCTACCACTCCTGTCCAGGCCCTCCCTACCACTCCTGTCCAGGCCCTCCCACCACTCCTGGCCAGGCCCTCCCTACCACTCCTGTCCAGGCCCTCCCTACCACTCCTGTCAGGCCCTCCCTACACACTCCTGTCCAGGCCGCTCACCTACCACTCCTGACCAGGCCCTCCCTACCACTCCTGTCCAGGCTCTCCCTCTCCTCCCTCCTCCCTCCTCCTCCCTCCCTCTTCTGTCCAGGCCCCTCCTCCCTACCCTCCTCCCTCCCGTCCCCCCTCCCTCACCTCCCTCCCTCCACTCTCCTGTCCAGGCTCTCCCCCTCCCTACTCCTGTCCAGGCCCTCCCTCTCCCTCCTCCTGCCAGCTCTCCTCCCCTCTCCCTCCCTCCCTCCTCCCTCTTCTGTCCAGGCTCTCCTCCCTCCCTCCCTCCCTCCCTCCTCCCTGCCCTCCCCATCCCTCCCTCACCTCCTCCCTCCCTCCCTCCCTCTCCTGTCCAGGCTCTGCCCCCTCCTCTCCTGTCCCAGGCCCTCCCTCTCCTGTCCAGGCTCTCCCCCTCCCTCTCCTGTCCAGGCCCTCCCTCTCCTGTCCAGGCTCTCCCCCTCCCTCTCCTGTCCAGGCTCTCCCCCTCCCTCTCCTGTCCAGGCCCTCCCTCTCCTGTCCAGGCTCTCCCCCTCCCTCTCCTGTCCAGGCTCTCCCCCCTCCCTCTCCTGTCCAGGCCCTCCCTCTCCTGTCCAGGCTCTCCCCCTCCCTCTCCTGTCCAGGCCCTCCCTCTCCCTCTCCTGTCCAGGCTCTCCCCCTCCCTCTCCTGTCCAGGCTATCCCCCCTCCCTCTCCTGTCCAGGCTCTCCCCCCTCCCTCCCTCTTCTGTCCAGGCTCTCCCCCTCCCTCCCTCTTCTGTCCAGGCTCTCCCCCTCCCTCCCTCTTCTGTCCAGGCTCTCCCCCTCCCTCCCTCATCTGTCCAGCTCTCCCCCTCCCTCCCTCATCTGTCCAGGCTCTCCCCCTCCCTCTCCTGTCCAGGCTCTCCCTCCCCTCTCCTATACAGTAGTACATCATGATTAACTTTGCTTTTTGCCCCTCTGTCTCAGAGCCCTTTCTTTTGAAATTAATTAACAGAGCGCATCCTCGGAAGCCTCACTGTGTGCACACTGCTCACAGCTAGGATCGACACTCCCAGAGGAAACCACCAGTAACCACCAACTCTGCAGCTAGCTCCCTAAAGCCCCAGGAGCAGCATGTTTAAATGGGATTGCAGTGCCTGGGTGCGTAGGGCCCCACTCGGTCCCAAATGCAACATATCTGAATCACTGTGTGTGTTCCAACCCCAAGGGCTATGCTAAGTTGAAGCTCTCTCTATTCAAGGCAGGTAATCGGCTTCGTTAGATGTGTTTGATTGGAGACTGGATGTTTAGCAGTGGGCTCATCTCTTTACCAGGGTCCTGTTCACCAGGGCACACCCTGAAAAAATTCTCTTCTTTTTGGACAAGTTCTGATAGTACTTCCCTGCTTCACTCTGTTTTGCGCCTACTGAACACCACAGGAGGTTGGTGACACCTGAATTGGGGAGGACGGGCTCGTGGTAATGGCTGGAGCAGAATAGGTGGAATGGTATCAAATACTTCAAACATGGTTTCCATGTCTTTGATGCCATTCCATTGGCTCCATTCCAGCCATTATTATGAGCCTCCCCTCAACCCTGATAGGTAGGTGTGGACATTTTCATGTTTTCTCATATCCTTAACATTGAGCCCCAGTCAGGGTCTGCTGGCTTCTCTGTGGGTATGAAAGATGCTATTAGCTTTTGGCACTCACTCCCAGTCGCTACTGAGTTTGCCCAGAGCATCAATCAGGTCAACTCAGTTATTGTGTTTTTGTTCGCAGCCAGTTACAGGAATTCACGTTCATTATCGGAATGAATTCTCCTCTCTCTGCAGACCTGGGTTCAAATACTATTTGAAATCTTTCAAATACTTTGAGTGTTTGCGCTAGCCTGCCTAGAGTGTCAGATAGGTGGGGTTTAACTTGTTGGGACTATTATATTGGTCCAATAAGCCAGACAAGCTCAATCAAGCATATCTTTTGAAATGATTTCAATCAAATAGTATTTGAACCCAGGTCTGTCGAGTACATTTTTGAAAGCTGTGCTGTTTTCCACTTCTTACCTCTTTCTACAAAGGCTGAATATCTTCAAACCAAAGTTATATTTTATGAAGTAATTCACAGGAACTTCATTTTACCATATGGCTAGGCCTACGTCATATTTTCAAGCTTTTTTGGCCTGGATAGTTGCCCAGTTATGTTCTATCTTCTTTGTACTTATTGTTTTGGATCCCTCAACTCTCTTTCTCTCACTCCCAGCCCAGCTCCATCTCTTTGGTCTGCGTCCCGGTCTGTCGCCAAAGTAATGTTGCCTCCAGTGTACAGGGAGGATATTTCCTGACCAGTTTGTAGGACAGAGAGACTGATAACGTCACTCATACTGTGTGTGTCTTTAATGTGTAGGCAACATTCCACTGCCAGTCAGTCTAATGAATAATAGGGTGGCTGATATAACAACAAAAGGTCTCTGACATTATGTCCCTGGCCTTGGAATTGTGAATAGATACCTCTGCCTTGAAAAGGTCTCTGACATTATGTCCCTGGCCTTGGAATTGTGTATAGATACCTCTGCCTTGAAACCATCACATCAGCAGATGAGGAATCACACAATTCTTAACCATCTCAGTACCTACACAAACATCCATTGCTCTCTGTCTCTGTGTAGAAGTTGAAGATGCAGTAGGCTACACTACAGTATCAGTCAGGAGACGACCCTCCGTCTGTGCAACTGAAAAATAAAGCTACATTAATGTATATTAACCTCCAGTGAGACCTCCATGACATTGTAGGATTTTTTATGAATTTATTTGCAAATTATGGTGGAAAATAAGTATTTGGTCAATAACAAAAGTTTCTCAATACTTTGTTATATACCATTTGTTGGCAATGACACAGGTCAAACGTTTTCTGTAAGTCTTCACAAGGTTTTCACACACTGTTGCTGGTATTTTGGCCCATTCCTCCATGCAGATCTCCTCTAGAGCAGTGATGTTTTGGGGCTGTCGCTGGGCAACACGGACTTTCAACTCCCTCCAAAGATTTTCTATGGGGTTGAGATCTGGAGACTGACTAGGCCACTCCAGGACCTTGAAATGCTTCTTACGAAGCCACTCCTTCGTTGCCCGGGCGATGTGTTTGGGATCATTGTCATGCTGAAAGACCCAGCCACGTTTCATCTTCAATGCCCTTGCTGATGGAAGGAGGTTTTCACTCAAAATCTCACGATACATGGCCCCATTCATTCTTTCCTTTACACGGATCAGTAGTCCTGGTCCCTTTGCAGAAAACAGCCCCAAAGCATGATGTTTCCACCCCCATGCTTCACAGTAGGTATGGTGTTCTTTGGATGCAACTCGGCATTCTTTGTCCTCCAAACACGACGAGTTGAGTTTTTACCAAAAAAGTTCTATTTTGGTTTCATCTGACCATATGACATTCTCCCAATCCTCTTCTGGATAATCCAAATGCACTATAGCAAACTTCAGACGGGCCTGGACATGTACTGGCTTAAGCAGGGGGACACGTCTTGCACTGCAGGATTTGAGTCCCTGGCGGCGTAGTGTGTTACTGATGGTAGGCTTTGTTACTTTGGTCCCAGCTCTCTGCAGGTCATTCACTAGGTCCCCCCGTGTGGTTCTGGGATTTTTGCTCACCGTTCTTGTGATCATTTTGACCCCACGGGGTGAGATCTTGCGTGGAGCCCCAGATCGAGGGAGATTATCAGTGGTCTTGTATGTCTTCCATTTCCTAATAATTGCTCCCACAGTTGATTTCTTCAAACCAAGCTGCTTACCTATTGCAGATTCAGTCTTCCCAGCCTGGTGCAGGTCTACAATTTTGTTTCTGGTGTCCTTTGACAGCTTTTTGGTCTTGGCCATAGTGGAGTTTGGAGTGTGACTGTTTGAGGTTGTGGACAGGTGTCTTTTTATACTGATAACAAGTTCAAACAGGTGCCATTAATACAGGTAACGTGTGGAGGACAGAGGAGCCTCTTAAAGAAGAAGTTACAGGTCTGTGAGAGCCAGAAATCTTGCTTGTTTGTAGGTGACCAAATACTTATTTTCCACCATAATTTGCAAATAAATTCATTACAAATCCTACAATGTAATTTTCTGGATTTTTTCTCTCTCAATTTGTCTGTCATAGTTGATGTGTACCTATGATGAAAATTACAGGCTTCTCTCATCTTTTTAAGTGGGAGAACTTGCACAATTGGTGGCTGACTAAATACTTTTTCCTCCCACTGTAAGTACCACCTGCCTTAGTTCCCACCATATTATATTTCTTAAGCACCCCCAGAGTCACATCTCAGATCATCTGTCTTCCTAATTTATTTGACATTTCATTTCTACCTCCCCAGTTCTATGGGCTCTCTCTCATCCAAGATGGCTGTCTGTTAGGAATAGCTAGAGTAGGATGGAATGGGTGTAGGCCTAGTTACTAGGCCTAGTTTTTGGCTGTCATCAGTTTCTCAATGAAAGCTCTCCATCCAAGAGGTGAAGTAATGCTGCTCGTTGTGGGATCGAGAAAAGCTATTTTTCCTTCTCCAACACTGCTGTTAATGGGTTACCACTACTGTATGGCTCCAGCAGCCGTAACGATATAAGGCTATGCATTCCTATAACATTTCATCAATGTTTTCCACTAATGGTTTTCATGGCTTTACCAGTAATATGGTTATCGGTAGATGGTTTGTCCTGTCAGTCAGTGCCTTCAGCCTCTCTGCTCACCTAGTTTCTAACAGTGTGCCGAGGCTACAGCCTGAGGGGTGGTGGATTCTAAGCCGTCTTCACTGCACACAGTCATGGTCATGCATATGAATTGTGTAACCTATTTCAGTCGTTTTGCTGCTCCAGTAGGATCCATGAAGCATAGGCTACTTCCCTTGACAAAAGCTGTGCAGTGAACATTCATTTTATAGGCCTAAATATTAGACTGGTTGGCTGACAACGTCACAAAAATGATGCACGTGCGGCAATGGGTCTGAAGGCCGTGTGATGTTATGATTCAGAACGGTCAGATGGCAACAATGACAAGAAGCTGCATTTTGGGGATTCATAGGTGGCTCGTTTTATCTTGTTCTTGATACCATGTCTTGTTTTGACTGATGTCACGTCTATGCTAATATGGCAAAACATTCGCTAGCTAGGTAACCAACAATTGTGCAAATGTTTTTATCTTTTTGATAAACATATACTTTAGGCCTACATGTTGTCAACAATCTAAGCCAACCCCATCTGTTTTAGTGGCCATCATCATACCACCCTGCATCCCACTGCTGTCTTGCCTCTGAAGCTAAGCAGGGTTGGTCCTGGTCGGTCCCTGGATGGGAGACCAGATGCTGCTGGAAGTGGTGTTGGAGGGCCAATAGGAGGCACTCTTTCCTCTGGTCCCAGGGCAGTGATTGGGGACATTACCCTGTGTAGGTTGCTGTCTTTCGGATGGGACGTTAAACGGGTGTCCTGACTCTCTGTGGTCACTAAAGATCCCATGGCACTTATCGTAAGAGTAGGGGTGTTAACCCTGGTGTCCTGGCTAAATTCCCAATCTGGCCCTCATACCATCATGGCCACCTAATCATCCCCATCTTCCAATTGGCTCATTCATCCCCCCTCCTCTTCCCTGTAACTATTCCCCAGGTCGTTGCTGTAAATGAGAATGTGTTCTCAATGAATTTACCTGGTAAAATAATGGTTAAAAAAACAGTATCTGATTTATTCAGATACCAGTATATTATATAGTGACAGATTTGTTTTATTTGATCAACCCGCCATAGCGTACAGCTACAGTTAAATAATCTCCACTTTGTCAAACGAAAGCCCTAACGACAGTTGAAGGCTACTACTTATCTCCCCTATCTGTCTCGTGCCCTAGTTGTAGCTCGGGGGGCGTGTGAGTGTGTCTGTCTGGGATTAGGACTGGGACAAGCCCTTTCTTCTGTTAAGCAGCTGTCTAACACCTGTATCGAGGTACGTCTGGCTCGCCTGCTGAGCCCGACTGGGTGCTTAACACACACACACACACACTGGCTGGGATTATTGATGCAGAATGACTGGGAGATGGAGGCTGTGAAGGCAGGAGAAACGATCCTCTCCAGCTGCTCGGGTTAGGCTTGGGCAGTATACTGTATACCGGGGTATTTGGAAATAGCTCGGGATGGTTTTTCAATACTGTCAATACCGTTGAAACTATTTCTTCAAATTTTTTATTTAATACTTTTTAAGTAGCTACGTACATGCAGTCAATACTTCAGGAGATAAAGATGGCCGTCTTCATTTTACCTGTCACATAATTTTTCATTATGAAGTTTGTGTGTCTGTTTGTTTTGTGTGTCAATGCTAGCACAGGCAGATGAAAGGAGAACAATCGGTGAGGAAAGGAATCCACTGTCTCTGCACCAGAACCTTGTTTTTCTCCGTATGGTTGTCCTTGGCCACGTTGATGCGAAACACAGTGGCTGTGTTTGCTACTTGCAGAGATACCTAGCGGCACAGGGACATTGGGGGACGTTGTCATTTAGAGCAGGAAAGGGAACATACATGCGCTCTTGAGTGGTAGTGGCTTTCTATTCACTTGACATCTCTCTCCTCTCGCTCTCTCTCTCCCTCCTTCCTCAACATCCTCCCTGTGAGAGCTGTCAGCCTCCAGCTACCACCAGCGAAAATCAATTCCCAGTCGATACATGACGGCAGCGTTCACAGAACCTCTGTCACCTGCTCTGCATACAGGCTCAATGGCTGTGTCCCAAATGGCACCCTGTTCCCTGTGTTGTGCACTGTTTGTCCAGGGCCAATAGGGCTCTGGTCAAAATGTAGCACACTATGTAGTGTATATGGTGTCATTTGGGACGACATCAATGATTCTCCCAGGTGGTGAAGGAAACACCACCGGTATAGCCTATAGTTAGATTTTTATGAATGGTGTCGTAAAACTAAAATCACATCTTATCATCAGGTGAATGTAATCATTTTTAAATGAATAGATTTAGTAGATAGTTGCATTATTTTCTCCCCCACAGTTCATTAGAAGAGGAAGTGTAAACTGTAGGAAGCTGTAAAAGTATCTTGGTGGCATAGAGAAAATGTTGCAGTTTTGAAGCTAATTTCCTGCAGTTCTATGCATTTTGCTAATGCAGTGTTCCTCTGCTCAAACATGATATTATAACTAAATCAATGGGCATGTGCCCTGAATGCCCGGATTCTTCCTGACTTACTAGCTTTTATTGGATTGTTAATTCTCAAAGATGGTATTATTACAAAATATATATATACACTGAACAGTAATAAAAATGCAACATGTAAAGTGTTGGTCCCATGTTTCATTAGCTGAAATAAAAGATCCCAGAAATGTTCCATACCCACACAATGCTCTCAAATGTTGTGCACAAATTTGTTTACATCCCTGTTGGTGAGCATTTATCCTTTGCCAAGATAATCCATCCACCTGACAGGTGAGGTAATCAAGAAGCTGATTAAACAGCATTATCATTACACAGGTGCCACTTGTGCTGGGGACAATAAAAGGCCACTCTAAAATGTGCAGTTTTGTCAAACAACACAATGCCACAGATGTCTCAAGTTTTGAGGTAATGTGCAATTGGCATGCTGACTGCAGGAATGTCCCCCAGAGCTGTTGCCAGAGAACTGAATGTTTATTTCTCTACTATAAGCCACATCCAATGTTTTAGAGAATTTGGCAGTACATCCAGCCAGCCTCACCACAGACCACGTGTAACCACGCCAACCCAGGACCTCCACATCTGGATTCTTCACCTGCGGGATCATCTGAGACCAGCCACCCGGACAGCTGATGAAACTGGGTTTGCACAACTGAAGAATTTCTGCACAAACTGTCAGAAACCGTCTCAGGGAAGCTCATCTGCGTGCTCGTCGTCCTCATCAGGGGCTTGACCTGACAGCAGTTCGGCGTCGTAACCGACTTCAGTGGGCAAATGTTCACCTTCGATGGCCACTGGCATACTGGAGAAGTGTGCACTTCACGGATTAATCCTGGTTTCAACTGTAGTGGGTGTCGTGTGGGCGAGCGATTTGCTGATGTCAACGTTGTGACCATAGTGCCCCATGGTGGCGATGGGGTTATGGTATGGGCAGACATAAGCTATGGACAACGAACACAATTGCATTTTGTCGATGGCAATTTGAATGCACAGAGATACCGTGACAAGATTCTGAGGCCCATTGTCGTGCCATTCATCTGCCGCCATCACCTCATGTTTCAGCATGATAATGCACAGCCCCATGTTGCAAGGATCTGTACAGAATTACTGGAAGCTGAAAATGGCCCAGTTCTTCCATGGCCTTCATACTCACCAGACATTGAGCATGTTTGGGATGCTCTGGATCGAAAGGTACGACGGCGTGTTCCAGTTCCTGCCAATATCCAGCAACTTTGCACAGCCATTGAAGAGGTGTGGGACAACATTCCACAGGCCACAATCAACAACCTGATCAACTCTATGTGAAGGAGATGTCGCTCTTCATGAGGCAAATGGTGGTCACACCAGATACTGACATGTTTTCTGATCCACGCCCCTACCTATTTTTTAAGGTGTCTGTGACCAACAGATGCATATCTGGATTCCCAGTTATGTGAAATCCATAGATTATTGCCTAATGAATGTATTTCAATTAAGTGATTTCCTTATGTGAACTGTAACTCAGTAAAATCTTTGAAATTGTTGCTTTTATATTTTTGTTCAATGTAGTTCATTTTCTTTTTTGCATGCGTTCTGTTTTTTTTCCATCCCCCAAATCACCACTTTTCTATACAGAAAAAAACCCTGTAATTTTCTCAAATGACTAATTCCCTCATATTAAAAGGATAGTTTGAGATTTAGGCAATTAAGCTATTTATCTACTTCACCAGAGTCGGATGAACAGGAACGGCTATGGATACTTTGACCTCTAGTATCCTCTTGGTAAACATAGACACTGTACCACTGTTCCCAGTCCCAGTCTATTAGATCCCAGTGTCATTAATATGGTGACACATAAAGAATCAGGCACAGTAAATGCCCCGTGGACAGAACAATTAAAGCCAGTTAAGCTATGCATAAAATATAGGCCAATAGGGGAAGAAGAGCGAGGAAAAAACAAATAGACTGAACACTTTTGTCCTTGGCTTTGCTAATGAGCGCTAAACGACAGGCTCTGGCCTAGCGGTTAAGGCGTTGGGCCAGTAACCGAAAGATCGCTGGTTCGAATACCCGAGCCGACAAGGGGAAAAATTGATTTGCCCTTGAGAAAGGCACTTAACCCACATTTTCTCCACATTTTTTTATGGCCGTAAAACAACACATTTCACTGTACCTATCAGGTGTATGTGACAATACATATTTTATTTTGTATAAGTCTACGTGGTTCTCTTCTGTCTGCTCCTCTGTTTCTATCCATCCTCTGTCTGTCTCTCTGTTTCTATCCATCCTCTGTCTGTCTCTCTGTTTCTATCCATCCTCTGTCTGTCTCTCTGTTTCTATCCATCCTCTGTCTGTCTCTCTGTTTCTATCCATCCTCTGTCTGCTCCTCTGTTTCTAGCCATCCTCTGTCTGCTCCTCTGTTTCTAGCCATCCTCTGTCTGCTCCTCTGTTTCTAGCCATCCTCTGTCTGCTCCTCTGTTTCTAGCCATCCTCTGTCTGCTCCTCTGTTTCTAGCCATCCTCTGTCTGCTCCTCTGTTTCTAGCCATCCTCTGTCTCTCTCTGATTCTTCTGCGTCTCCTCTCACACTCCTCTTTCTCTCTCTTCCCTCTCTCATCCCTTTCTCTCACTAGCCTATTCTTTTTATTCTCTCCATCTCCCTCTTTAGGCCTATTTCTCTCTCCATCCATCTGCTCTCTCGCCATCATCTCTCTCTTTCTCTCTTCATCTCTCTCTCTCTCCATCCTCTCACTCTCTCTCTCTCTCTCTCTCTCTCTCTCCCTCCTTCTTTCCTTTTTTAACAGAGGTGTTTGATTCTAAAGGCTGTCAGTTAGTGGACCGTTTTGGATTGGCCCATGCCATTATGCCTTCTAGGAGAATTATACTGTGGTTGGATGGCTTTGTGCCGTACTAACTACTGTATTTCCATGTATTACTAAATTGTTCAGAGCACTTCCACTTTTAGAGTTGGCTAAAGAAGGAACTAGGTGTTATCCAGTTTCTTTCTACTTCTTTCTTCTGTAGTTCCTTACTCTTTCTTTTAACTCTCTGTGATGGTGTGTGTTTTGTTTCTAGTGTGTATGCGCATCTGTGTGTGCATGTTTGTGTGCGTATATGTGCCACAGCCCAGTGTGTGTTTGCGTGTCTGCATCAGATTTTTAAGTAATGTTTTCTCTCTTAATTGAAGTTTGTGTTCCAGAACATTGCAGCAGCTAACTGCGTCAGTCTGGAAGTAATTCCACCACTTAAACAGTTACTGGTAAAGTAAATGAATAGCGTGAAGGAGGACAACTCTGTCAACTAGCATAGCGTGGAAGCCTGCCCCTGCTTTCAGAGGTTGGCTGTCTGGCTCTTTGCTGTTCCTCACCCACCTATCTATAATTGATAGTTTATGAATGGCTAATGAAGGGAAGGAGGGGGCTGACATGGGACTGAATATTCATGAAGGTCGTGGTTAGGGCTGGGAATTGCCAGGGACCTCTCGATACGATATTATCACAATACTTAGGTGCCGATACGATATGTATTGCGATTCTCACAATTGTCACGATTCTATATGTATTGAGATTCGATATTGCGATTTGATGTTCCAAACATATTGCTCACTATGTCTGCTGCTGAGAGACAAGAGAGCATGAGAAAATGAGTTCTGATCAGTCAGGGAAATAATAATGCTGAAAACATGTTGGCTTACCATTTAAAAAGAAGATGGAGAACAAGCTATAGGATGAAAAATACCTCCGTTTTGGCGCCAGTACAGCTAGCTAACGCTACCAAGGAAATTTGTAAAAGAAAACACTAATGTAAGTATCTATATAATATTGTCTAAAATACTATTGTGATGTGTAACTTTATTGATTTGTTTTATTTCCCCATCATTGGTCATGGTTATTTATGTTGCGTGCGTTCCCATGTATCTAGATCTAAATAGACTCTGAAAACGAGGCCCATTTCAATTATATTTAGCAGGGAGGTCGTGTTCATTAGACACCAAACGGAAGAAAACGGACTGAAACGGAGGGACTCGACCAATAAGAAATGCTAATTTTTGTTTCCTGTTGCAAAATGTTATAGAATGTTTTATGTTGTGTGCCTTAATGAACATGGCCCTGTTACAAAAGTTATAGATGGGGGGGTGAGGAACCGCAAAGAATCAGGCAACCTCTGAAAATGGGTAATCCCTGTTTCGGTCTGTTTTCTTCCGTTTGGTGCCTAATGAACACAACCCAGCTATCAGCAGATGGGCGTAGAGACAGTGCAACACTGAAACATTTCCACTTTAGGAATTTTCCTAAAATGTTAACCCACAGCCAATACCCTGAGATTACTGGAAATTACAGACAGAATGATGAAAGACAAGGGGGGGGGGGGGGGGGGTAATGACAGTGTTTCAGTCTCGGCTGCTTTCAAGAAGTCAGTGGTTCCTTTGATTTTAGGAGAAAGGGTTTCGAAAACGAGAGAAAGGCGACAGAGCCCGACTAACTGTTTTTTTGATTCTATAAATCTTGCATGATCAGAGGAACAGTTTCCCCCCTCACGCACCCCAACCTTACTTGTCTTATGGATAAGAGCGTCTGCTAAATGACGTAAATGTAAATGAAAAAGAAAGTAAGAGAGGGAGAGAGAAAGCAGTTATGGGCTGTGGAGAACTGGGATGAGGGACCTGTCAAGATGACACATCCATTTCCTTTCGTCTGCCATACTTTCTTCTCTCATTTGTTCCCTCTCTCCCTCTCAGATCCATCTCTGATGGGTCACCACCACATCTCACTCACTCCTCTTCCACACCACCCAGCCCAAACAGAGTCCAGGCAGATTATCTGTGTGGGTTGTTGTGAACTGACAGGCTTAGCTTCTGGCCGCTACCCAAGCCTCCCCTCCCTTCATCTCTCCCTCCCCTCCCTCCCCTCTCTCTCCCCTCACACCAGACCTCCCAGACCCAGCCACCCTCCCCTCCTAGGCGAAGAGCTGTCTGATGGGGCATAGCTTTCTGTCAGCATGGCTGCGGCTTGCTGGCTGCTCTATCCAGCCCAAACAAAGGGACTACTAAGGCCTCCCATCCTCACACAGACCAAGGATCCCCTCCCCTAGGTCCCTCTAACCATCCTCACCCAGCCTGTCCTCCAGGCTTGTCTTTATCCTGTTCTAGATATGTACTGTCCTGTAGCCTGACATTCTACTGCTTCTAGCTGTATTGTGCTGTCCTTTCAGATCCGTGTGCAGGCCTACACCTTGCTCCATAAATGTACTCTGTGTGAGTGTGTGTGTGTGTTTCTCTATCGCCTCTGGGCTTGTGTATCTATCACCTCTGTGCTTTATAGGCGAGGGCATCACTGGTCAAGTAGATAAGACACTGTGCACACACACTAGACCCAGCAGCAGCTGGTTGTAACCCAAAATGCCAATCTCCTGTCCTGTGAACCTTATCCATGCATCTTTCATGAGGTAGCAGGGGCCCCTCTGTTGATGCTCTACTGAAGCTACGTTTAACACCGTCCAATTAAACAGACTAAGACCCTGCCCATCCCTTTCTCTCTCACTTCTTCTGTGTGTGTAAAGGACTTGGAGTAGTGTGGTGTGTGTAAAGGACTTGGAGTAGTGTGGTGTGTGTGAAGGACTTGGAGTAGTCTGTGTGAAGGACTTGGAGTAGTGTGTGTGTGTGTGTGTGAACAACTTGGAGTAGTGTGTGTGTGAAGGACTTGGAGTAGTGTGGTGTGTGTGAAGGACTTGGAGTAGTGTGGTGTGTGTGTGAAGGACTTGGAGTAGTGTGGTGTGTGTGTGTGTCGAGGCCTCTCCGTCTGGCCCATGTTTATCTCTCTCATTCTCGCTCTCTCTGCCGACCAGAGTCTTGAATCTGCCCACCAGATCACAAAGCATCCTGGGATATTCCCCAGCCAATTGGCTGGCTCTGAGCCAGCCAGCGTCTCTATCTGGCTAATGACCTGTCAATCACTGGGTGGGGACAGGCCCAAAAACCAGGCCTCCTCTCCCATCCATCACTTTTACTGTGGACACTATTACTCCCCATTGTTCCATCACAGGACACACACACAGGCAGGCAGCCTTTTGTTGGAAGGTTGTGACGATTAGTTCCTGGTTTCATTAACTTTATTGCTTTAAAAGCATTTTGGTGTCATCATATGTCATTCCTCTGATCTACTGATCTATGGATGGTAGATTATTATAGATTTACTCAGAGACCTCCTCTGGGTTTCTGGCCTTCTGATTGGTGCCTTGGGGATTCTACCGAGGAGGTTCTGTTCTCTGATTGGCTTGGTGATTCTAATCCGAGGGACCACTCTCACACTCTGCTGCTGGGCATCTGTTGGCTCTGAGGCATGACAGATGACCATGCATCCCAGCCTTTGTTCGTCTAGGCAGGGCCATTCACCATCTGTAGTACACACACACACACACTGGGTTGATGTGCCCGCTGTGCTAGCTCGTAAAGAGTCAGGATTAGCCAGGGGCAAGCCCATCAAAACAGACCAGAGCCCAAACCTACATTTATCACATTTGTGTGTGTGTGGGGGGGGGGACCTTCCAGTGCTTTGTGTACACTCAGAGAAAAACAAGGCTGCACTAATAACAACCAACAACCATGACTAGAGACGGAGAGAGGCTAGATTGTGCAGAGAGCAGGGGCAGTAGTAGACAGACAGTAGAGGTGTGTGTAGTGTGGAGAGGCTAGTTAGCTAGACCATGGTAGACCTAATCTGTGTGTTAGCTTGTTACGCCTATGTGTGCATGATCTAGGCCTATTCTAGTGAGTGTGAGTTTCTGTGCGCTTCGGTGAGTGTGTGTGAGTGAATGCCTGTGTACCGGTAGTATGTGTCTCTGAGTAATGATCAGTGGTGCTGGCTGCCTCTCTCTGAGGCTTTGCCCTCTGATCTATGATCTGGGCTCTCTACACCACTGATCTGGTTCATAGAGAGCACAACATGATGTCAATCCTCTTAATGAGATGACAGCTCTCTAAGGCAGAGTTACACGAGTGTGTGAAGCGCATGTCTCCCCGAGAGTGTAACACACACACAAGTATTCAGACCCCTTGGATTTCTTCACATTTGATTGTGTTACAGAGTGGGTTGAAAATGGATTTATACCACAGCGTTGTTGAATACTCGTTTCTGATTGGCTAGAAGGGCATTCTAGAATGGACATTAAAACCAGATAACGGGACAGTTAGAAAAGGTGTCGGCACATTGCATGATGCAATATGCGCCTACACATGCAGACCGTACTTGCTACAGGTCCAACGAAGAAAGAACTTTGCTAGCTAGCTAGCATTGATTTATTTTTGCAGAGACATATTTTTTGGGGGGAGCATCTGATGACCTAACGTGGTGAGTGATAAACCAGCTGTTTTCAGCAACTGATATTTTTGAATTTGGTTGTCATATTGGCAGGTTGGCTAGCAACAAACTATTTAGCTAGCTTCTAGCCTAGTGTTTGATATGCAATGCAATCTCCTCGTAATTAACAGTCAGTGTTGACGAGTGTCCTGATAAGGCAAACTTTTCTAGCTATGCCAGGCAATATCGGGCATTATCAGCTTATTGTTATGGATGTATCCAAGTGAATGTCAATAGAAAACAGCTACTTTGCTGTTATTCTGACTGCAGAGGTCGTGACTGTGTAGCCGTAGTTAGTTGGTTAGCTAGCAGCAAGCAAGGGATAAGAACGTTAACTGAGCATGGCAACAAAACATACAGAACGAAGGACTGAGTAGTGTCTCTAGCAACCAAAAGATGGGAAAGTATGAATTTGCATATAAAAATGAAAATATTTACTTCTTTATTTTCTACCGGTACATGTGTGCTTTCATATTGTTTTCTTTGGCAACTGTGGTATAAGCAGGATAAACGCCTCCGTTTTGTACGTTACCTTGGAAGAAATGAACTCCGCAAAGGGACTCGGCTCCACCTCGTTCCGCTGCGTCGTCCATTATTTCCAAGGTAATGTACAGAACTTCAGCGTTTATCCCTTAATTGTCATTTTTTGTAAACAATCTTCACAAAATACTCTGTCAAAATGGAAGCTTACTTATTTATTTTATTTTTTCAAGATTCATACAAATTAAAGAAATAAAATATAGTTGTTGCGTAAATATTCGGCTCCCTGAGTCTATACATGTTGGAAACAACTTTAGTGTTTAGCTTTAGACCCCTGGATTGTGCAATATTTGCCTATTATTATTTTCATAATAATTGTTCAAGCTCTGTCAAGATGTTGGGGATCATGGCTAGACAGCAATGTTCAAGTCTTGCCATTAGTATTTCAAGCAGATTTAAGTCAACTTTAACTTCGCCACTTAGGAACGTTCCCTGTCTTCTTGGTAATCAACTCCAGTGTAAATTTGGCCTTGTTGTAGGTTATCGTCCTGCTGAAAGGCGAATTCTCTGCCAGTGTCTGGTGTAAAGCAGACTGAAGCAGGTTTTCCTTTAGGATTTTGCTTGTGCTTAGCCCTAACCCGCTTTCTTTTTATCATGAAAAACTCCCCAGTATTTGCTGCTGTCAAGCAAACCCATACCATGATGCAGCCACCACCATGCTTGAAAATAAGGAAGCAGTTACTCAGTGACGTGTTGGATTTGCCCCAAACAGAAGGCTTTGCATTTAGGCCAAAAAGTGTATTCATTTGCCATGTTTTTTTTGCAGTATTACTGTAGTGCCTTGTTGCATACAAGATGCATGTTTTGTAATAATTGTATTTTGTTCTTTTCACTCTCATTTAGGTCATTATTGTGGAGTCACTCCAATGTTGTTGATCGATCCTCAGTTTTCTCCCATCCCAGCCGTTGAACACTAGCCAGCTATCTGAACTTGTAGTAATCATGGTCAAATTACCGATAGGGGGCCCCCATTTGATTGTGTTAGTCACTGTCACTCAGATATCATATTAAAAACGGCAAACATTGCTCTCCACCCTATGGCAAAATGTGTAGAATTGCCGGAAATAAGCTGTTAAACTGCCACTGTGCCCCTCCATGATTTCTGATTTTTTTGTGGCACCCACTCCCATCAAAGTTACCCATCCCTGAACTAGACCATGCTAAAAGAGCTATTCAATGTATGATTTAGTGTTACCCATCTACCAATCACTGCCCTTCTTTATGAGGCTTTCCAAAAGATCCCTGGTCGTTGTAGTTGAATCTGTGCTTGAAATTCAATACTTGACTGAGGGACCTTACAGATAATATATGCATGGGGGACAGTGGACGGGTTAGTCATTTAAAAATAATTATTTTACAGAGTGAGCCCATGTTACTTTTTGTGATTTGTTAAACCAAATTCTATTCCTGAACTAATTTAGGCTTGCATAAACAAAACGGCTGAATACTTATGCAACGACTATATTTTAGTTATTTAATTTTTTATTAATCTTAACAAATAATTAATAATTTTTCTTCCACTTTGACATAAGAGTATTGTTGACAAAAAATGACAAATCCATTTTAATCCCACTTTGTAACACAATAAAATGTGAAGAAATACAAGGGGTCTGAATACTGAATATACACCCTTCATCACACACACACACATCACACACATCACACCACACACATCACATGTCTGAACAGCAGCACAACGTCACCAAACACCATTTGATCATGGTAGCATCAAAGCAGCTCGTCTCCATAAGCAGCTCTGCAATGTGATGATGATGCTGCTGCTGCTGCTTAGAGAGAACATGCTGCATAGTGCGCACTCACTATTCTGTTTCATGTCTCTCCTGCTTCCACAGGATGAGGTTGGCTGGAAGGTGTCTCTACATGGGCCTGGTAAAGCAGTGAGGTGTGTGCGTGGCAGGTTCAGACAGTAGAGGAACTGGACGTAGTAGGGGTGTAGTACAGTGGAATGGTAGAGGGGTAGAGAGATGGTTAGTCTATGCTTCTCTGTCTCGTCCTGCTCAGTGAGACTGGGGCCGGCAGGCTAGGCGTTAGTCAGTCAAGGGGAAACTAGAGAGAGGGAGGGGGGAGGGGGAACGTCATCTGACACAGCCCTGGCTTGCACCCTCAGGGGGTCAGTCAGAACAGCACTGGCGCATCAGCATCCACGCCCTCCTCTCCTCCCTCAACATCCCCACTATTAAATATAGAAACGCAGAGGAGAGGAGAGGACAAGCCTGTGTGTGAGAGTTAATGTCTGTAAGGGTGTGCGTGTCAGTGTGTCTATTTATGATCGTGTGTGTGCGCTCACGCCTGCGTGTGTGTCCGTCTCCAGCATAGCGGCTTATTGCATGTGAAACGGTGTGTGGTGAGTCACTGCTCTCATGGTCTGTTTCCCTAGCTGTGGAGGACCTGCCTCTCTCCCAACCCTCCTCTCCCCCTGCCCCGCCTGTCTCCCCCTGCCCCGCCTGTCTCCCCCTGCCCCGCCTGTCTCCCCCTGCCCCGCCTGTCTCCCCCTGCCCCGCCTGTCTCCCCCTGCCCCGCCTGTCTCCCCCTTCCCCGCCTGTCTCCCCCTACCCCGCCTGTCTCCCCCTGCCCCGCCTGTCTTCCCCGCCTGTCTCCCCGTACCCCGCCTGTCTCCCCCTGCCCCGCCTGTCTGCCCCGCCTGTCTCCCCCTGCCCCGCCTGTCTGCCCCGCCTGTCTCCCCTGCCCCGCCTGTCTGCCTCTCTCCCTCTCTCTCTCCCTGCCCCTCCCTTTCCCTGGGCCTGAAACCGATGGAGAGATGCAGTGAGAGAGACACTCCCTCTGCTAGTAACTGTAAAACTCTGGTTCCAGTCATATCAGCCAGCGGCCTGATCTATAGCTGATCTAATAGGACATTAAAAGCCTCAGGAAGGGGGAGGGAGAGTTACTGCTGACACTGAGGAATAGTATAGGGTCTGACTGGCAGGCTGCATGGGAACCAGAGAGGGTGAAACAGTGGGGGGGAAGTGGATTTTTCTACCCAGGGAAGAGGGCTCGAGGGTTGGGGTGCAGGGGGGTGCGGTTGCAGCGTTGACAGGGGTAGCTGTGTTTTGACTGGAGCTCTGGTGCAATGCAGAAGGTTAGGAGGGGTGCTGGAAGGAATCAACAGCAGCATCTCTCTTGAAGAGCTGAGGGGGGAGGGGCTGGAGCAGAGAGTTAATGATAATGAGGTGTTGGCGTGACTGTCTTTAGAGCACTAGCCTGCCTTGCCTGTCTACTGATGATCACAATCACACTTCATGGCTCTCACTCTCTTTCTCCTCTTTTTCTCTATCTGCTTCTCTTTCTGCTTCTGTCTCTCTCAATCTTTCTCTCTGCTTCTTTTAGGCCTGTATTTTTCTGCTTCTCTCTGTCTCTCTCTCGTTCATATCAGCCTACATCTAACGTCTGCCTTTCAGCCTCTCTCTACTCTCCATCATCTCTTGCACATGTCATTGAGTGTGGTGGTACTGGCTGTATAGTGTCTAGCCCGGGGCTCTCCAACCCTGTTCCTGGAGAGCTACCGTCCTGTAGGTTTTAACTCCAACCCTGTTCCTGGAGAGCTACCGTCCTGCAGGTTTTAACTCCAACCCTGTTCCTGGAGAGCTACCGTCCTGTAGGTTTTAACTCCAACCCTGTTCCTGGAGAGCTACTATCCTGTAGGTTTTAACTCCAACCCTGTTCCTGGAGAGCTACCGTCCTGTAGGTTTTAACTCCAACCCTGTTCCTGGAGAGCTACTATCCTGTAGGTTTTAACTCCAACCCTGTTCCTGGAGAGCTACCGTCCTGCAGGTTTTAACTCCAACCCTGTTCCTGGAGAGCTACCGTCCTGTAGGTTTTAACTCCAACCCTGTTCCTGGAGAGCTACTATCCTGTAGGTTTTAACTCCAACCCTGTTCCTGGAGAGCTACCGTCCTGCAGGTTTTTACTCCAACCCTGTTCCTGGAGAGCTACCGTCCTGCAGGTTTTAACTCCAACCCTGTCCCTGGAGAGCTACCGTCCTGCAGGTTTTAACTCCAACCCTGTTCCTGGAGAGCTACCGTCCTGTAGGTTTTCACTCCAACCCTAATCTAGCATACCTGATTCCAATAATTATCTGGTTGATAAACTGAATCAGGTTAATTACAACTGGGGTTGGAGTGAGAACCTACAGGAGGGTAGCTCTCCAGGTACAGGGTTGGAGTAAAAACCTACAGGAGGGTAGCTCTCCGGGAACAGGGTTGGAGTAAAAACCCTACAGGAGGGTAGTTCTCCAGGTACAGGGTTGGAGTAAAAACATACAGGAGGGTAGCTCTCCAGGAACAGGGTTGGAGAGCCCTAGCTAGCCTGTCTGTGTTATCAGGCCCCAGTCTGAATGTGATTCTCCTGCGCCTGTCAGTCACTATTAGACCCCGCCCCTCTCCATTAGATCCCATTCATCCCAGTGTGATAAGCCCCGCACACGCCAGACCGAATGAGAACAGAGCTTACTGTATGTGGCCCTGAATGTCCAGCTTACTGCTCCGTCATCACAATCCTCCCCGGGCTTCTAAGGCCATGCAGCGACATAGACTGTGTGTGTGCCCTATTTCAGTGATATGATGATATAACTGCTCTCTTATCACCCCCATGGCAGTCATACCATTGTAGGTGGACAATAGCCTAGTCTTCTCTCACAGTGTGTCTGGTCCTTCTATGATGAGGTGTTTGTAGTGGCTGCAGCCTGCCGGCAGCATTACTCTGGGCTCTGTGGAGATGACATGGGAGGGAAATCGGATAGCTGTCAGTGAGTGCATCTCTTCTCCAGACACTCCCCCTGCTGGCCAGAACTGCAAGGTGCAGCTCTTTCACCATGCTGTCATATGGCACCCGGTGATCTGCCCGTCACTGTAGCAAGTGTTTCCCAAATATATGTTTTCTTACTTGTGAGGGAGAAAAGCCTTAGGAAGCAACATCCAGTGACTCAAACACCACAACATTCAAGCAAAACCAACAAAGGCTTCAATTTGTTTGAGGTGGGGAGCCATAGCTAGGCAGGGTCACTGCTAAATGACTAAGTTATAGCAGGGGAAAAAAGCAGCCTCCTCAATGCCACATTGGTGGACAGATAGAAAGCCAGTAAATGCGTAAACATTACACTGTGGCCTGTCTCTGAGTCATGAGTGTTTCTCACAGTGACTGTTCCCTCTCCTAACCAGTCACACTGTTTCATAGTGATATAATGTGGAGGAAGTGAAACTGAGACCAGGCTGGATCTTTTATGACCCCTTTACAATGGTTCTCCATGCTGTCGTAATGGTGTCGGGTTGTTTCATTGTGTTGCTGTTCGTCAGGTGACTGTAGCCTACCTTTTGTGTGGAGGTGTTCTTTGCTGTAGGCCTAATACCTTGGCTAGGTCGTGTGTATCAATGAGCGTCATGTCCTGGTTACTTTAGGTGGTTACTGTGTTCTCACTCCCCAGCACTATTTTCTTACTCAGATTTCTAGAAACATGGTTGAAATGGATACTAAGCTGCGGCTTAGTCTTTTGTTTTGCTCCTGCTCTATTCCACCTTTATTTCCTCTCCCTCTCTTCCTCTGCCCAGCGGGTGACTTAGTGACAAGCCTGTGTCCTGATGGCTTTGAATAGACCTCTTTCTCTCTCTCTCTCTCTCTCTCTCTCTCTCTCTCTCTCTCTCTCTCTCTCTCTCTCTCTCTCTCCTGTATTCATTCCATGTCTCACTCCAGTTCGTCATCACTACAGTACAGAGCTCCTCCATATGGTTGCTCTGTCAGTCCCATCAGCTTCAGGCAGGGCTATGGGACTGTCTTCGGTCGTCAGAGCAGCATCAGGGCTATGGGACTGTCTTCGGTCGTCAGAGCAGCATCAGGGCTATGGGACTGTCTTCGGTCGTCAGAGCATTATCAGGGCTAAGGGACTGTCTTCGGTCGTGTGTCTCTCTGCTCCCTTTCTCTCTCCTTTTTTCTCTCTGCTGCCAGAGAAAACTCCAGAATATTTCTTCATACAGCACATCTCTACTCTCTGTACTCCTGAGCTCCAACACACGTTAACACATCTTCTCTTCTCCATCTTTCTTTCTCTCTCTATCTCTCTGTTCCCCTTTCTGTTTCCATCTCTCTGGCTGGCTGGCTGGCTGTCTGTATGTCGCTCGCTTGCGCTCTTGCTGTCTCTCTTTCTCACACACACAACACCCCCCCCCCCCCCCCCCCCCCCTCCCCTCACCACGTCTCTCTCTCCTCTCGCTGTGGCCTCAGGCCCTGCAGAGCTCAGTGTGGCAGCTCCACTAAAGACAAGGCATTCTAATGGTTCTGTAAATCCCTCGATCATCTCTAGCATCACACTCACACACTCCAGCCGCTGTCAGTGTGTCAAAGATGCTTCCTCCCACCATGCATGAATCCAATCAGGAGCATGGTGTACTGCGTGGAGAAGCAGAATGTGTGCTCTATATATCGGACCACATGGGGTTTCTCAAAGGACCCAACCATCACTACTCTGTCTGCCTTCATCTTAGGGCTGTTACAGTGACTGTATTACCACCACACCGGCGGTCACGAGTCATGACCGCAGTCAAATTCCACATGAAGGTTTAGTCTTGGTAACTAGGCTTTTCCAAAACTGCGCTCTGATGCCGCTGATGGTCATTAGTAGCCTACCAAACTTGCTAACTGCCATTCGCTAATGGCCTGGTACTCAGCGTTCTATTGTCCCTCTAATCACTCTGACATAAATGCAGTCCAAAATCAAATCAAACACTTCATGAGAGCCCATGAGCTCATGTTGCGCAATATTTCTAATTACGTGATAAAACTGAGTTTTGATGGCCTCTATTAAAAAGAGGATCTGTTCAGCTTTCTATAGGCTAGGCCTACTATATTTATTAATTAATATTAAACACAGTGCTTCCTTTACAACAGGAATAGCCTATCTGGCTGGCATGAAAATGAACTGTGGGAAAGCGTCTTCCATTCGCTATTTAAGTGCATACGATGACATGTATTTTTTCCCGTGCACCTGTTCTGACAGGTGAATGATAATGGTCCATTCTAAATCAAAACTACTTTCACACACAGGCCTATATTATTTAGTATATGTAAAGACAAGATTAAATTGAGAATAGTCTGATGGGTGACAATATTATCACTTGAGAATTATGTATTGTGTGTGCAATCTATGACAAAAAACAGCGCATGCCTTTTTTTCCGACTTTATCAAATCATAGTCGTGCACATCATGTAGCCTAGCCCATGAGCCTATATGTTTTGATAAGGTTTGTATCACAACTAAATGGCCAGAAAATTCCAAACCTACATGCCTAGGACGTCTGGAACACGGTTGGAGAGCACATAGCCTACAGAGCCTAGTGAAACGTGTTCCTATAAGCCCAGTCATTGCCCAATCGCAATCGAGTTTTGACTGGCCACTATTTAAAAGAGGATCCCAGCTTTTTCGTGCTGCTATATTTATTGTTAAAATGAAGAACATTAATCCACTTTACAACCGGTGTAGCATACTTGGCATACATAGGTGGTGCGCGAGTTTCAAGTTTGGGGAAGCTAATTTTCACTGTAAAAATGCACCCTTATAATAAAGCATTCCGTGCATCATCGCATTTGCAGACCTACTATTCGTAATGTGATGAGTAGATTGGATAGTCATAATTTAGGCTAATCAAATAACTAAATCACTGTATGCAAAGAAAGACCGTTCGGTGCATGGCTGAGCGCGTGTAGAGTAGACCTAGGCTATATCAGATATGTTTCTTCTTTCTTTGCATGAGAAAAATGTGGCCTTTTATAAACACATTTCATGCAATTCTACTACACTTTATATGACTGGAGACGTTAGCAGAATCTTTTTTTAATTGGTCAAATTACAGTTAGCCTACTCTACTGACAAAGACAAACGGATCAGTAAAAACAACATTGTCCATATAATAGGCCTAGAAGAAGGGGAGACACAAATAGAATATGACGTCCATCTCAAACTGGAGGAGGAAATTATTGTCCCCCCCCCCAAAACATTTTTAAATTAAGTATGTATGCGCAGTTCGCACTCACCGGGGATATTGCTGATGCTCTCCGCTGGTGCCAATAAGATGTTGAGAATTTTGATAACTAAAAGACATTAGTCTTTTCATTGTCTTCTCTTTACAGCAATAACCATTTGCTTTCCAAACTATGTTTTCCTGTGATTGTATTTTGAAATGTTGCAATATGCCTGGCTTGGCCTCTCTACTTTTCACAGACAGTCGCAACTAAACAATAATCTGGCCAAATTGCGCGCGCTGCCTTTCCTTCCGACTGTAGGCAATATATTTTTAAATATAAAAATTAAAAAATAAGCTAATGATCCTCTGTGGCCAAATCATGCTTTAGTTGCCTATTTTGAATTATTACATTTATTTTTGTATAGACAGGAGTAGGCTAAATTTAATTACATTTACTTTAGGTAAATCTTCCACTAGCCTTATGGACGCGCTGCCTATGCTTGCATTTTAAAAACGTTACAGCACATAACCTCCATTTGCTATTCGAGTGCAGGCTACGATGACATAAACATTTTATGTGGGCCATTCTAAATCAAAAATAATTCCACACATACCCTATATTAGTATGCTATATGTAAAGAACATATTACATTAAAAATAGTCTGATGGGTGACAATATTGTCAAGTGCTTGTCAATTTGTGAATGAGATACTGAAGTGTGTGCAGCCTGCGCAAGAAATGGAGCAGAGCTCATGTCTTTCATCATTAGTGGCATCATGCAGCCTTAGAATGTATTACAAATCTAAATATATAGCCTAACATTTCTATCACAACTAAAGATGCATAAATGACCTATTTCTTTGTTAACCGCTCAACACAGAATAGCAGTCTCTTGGAAATTGTTTGGGGTAAATATCCTTTCTATTTTATTCAGCTATGTGCAATTGTAGGCCTATTCTTCATACTATAAAATAATATCAAATAATGCCACGGAATTCAAATCTGTGTATAGCCCACAGCCATATGGCATAGCTAGCTCAGGGCCTAACATAAGGACAACTCAGAAGATGCTATTCTGTTCTTCTGAAATAGGCTACATTTTCTTCATATCATGTTTCTTTAGACCTGTCTAAAATAATGGATATATTGTGATGGTGTAGGCTATATTTAATGGATTTATTCGACTTTTTAAAAAATGTAGATGTTCCCAAGGTCCTCATCAGTGGCTTGTAGGCTATGCGTGGAAGCCAGGAGATGCTAAATGTGTTTATGTTAATAAACAGTAAATTACCGTGAGACTGGCAGTTATTTGCATTACAATCACTGGTTGACAATGTCATGATCACCACAGCCCTACTTCATCTCAATATTTATTGGAGAGTGCAAGGTTGTGTCCCAAATTACACCTTATTTTCTACATAGTGCACTACTTTTGACCAGAGCCCTATGTAGGGAACAGTGGGACGCAGCCTCAGTGTTCCTCCTAAACGATCTGATCACATGACTGTGTGTATGTGTGTCTGCCCAAGCCAGCAGGGAGATCTCTTTACGCCAGCCTCCCTCTCTGTATAGGTTTCCATCTGCCTCTCAATGCTCAGAAGATGTCGATGTATATTCCCTTTTTATTCTGACTCTCTCATCCCTTCTCTCTCTCTCCCTCCCTCTCTTTCCCTTCTCTCTCTCTCCCTCCCTCTCTTTCCCTTCTCTCTCTCTCCCTCCCTCTCTTTCCCTTCTCTCTCTCTCCCTCCCTCTCTTTCCCTTCTCTCGCTCTCCTCTCTCGCGCTCGCTCTCCCTCTCCTCTCTCGCGCTCGCTCTCCCTCTCGCCCCCTGCAGGCCAAGTCGTGTATCTGTCACATGTGCGGCGCCCACCTGAACCGGCTCCACTCCTGCCTGTCCTGTGTCTTCTTCGGCTGCTTCACCAAGAAACACATCCACGAGCACGGCAAAAACAAACGACACAACCTAGGTAAGATGTGCACGTGCTAGCTTATGTTGTCATGTCCACTAAACTAGCACACTGCCTCACACACACACACACACACACACAGTGAAGAAGATACAATTGACATCACTGCAGAACATTCTCTAGCTCCAAGCTGTGCTGCACACACACACAAACATACGCACACACCAAAATACAATTCAGGCCTCTCTTTCTGAGACATTGAGCAGAACCCATCTTTCCCAGTAGCATTAACAATCTACTGGGAGCCAGTGCTTAGTCTTAGCCAGACAAATGTCATTCTCTAAGCCTCTCTGTTCCCAAGTCAGCTATGTGGGAGGGCTAGACATGTTTAGTCCTGAACCACATTGAATAGGGATGACCCTGTGATTCTTACATGGTAATTATCAAAGTATAATATTTTCTATTTAGTGCACTACATTTGAGCAGGGCCCACAGGGCTCTGGTAAAAAGTAGTGCACTGTGAAGGGAATAGGGTGCCGTTTGGGTGTGATGGGGATTAGAAGGTTGTTCTGGGGGGGTGTCACAGTAAGGTTTTGATCTATACGCACACACCCTCTGACACATACACTGAGCCATGTCGGTCGCTCCTGTCATCAAGCCCCACTCCTATCTGCCCCTCAGCCCCCCAGAGTACTGCTACAGTGTTAATTAGGTTAGGGCTTTCCACGGGAGCACACACACATATTCACACACTCACTGTGCCATTGCACCATTAATCAACTTAACCCCTGACTCCCAGCTGTTCCTCTGGATTCCTTCACTTCCTTCATCATCCCCCTCTCCTGTCTGTCAGGTTTATTTTTAACTTCCTCTGTGTGATGTACACAGAACTCTTTCTCTCCTTCTTTCTGGTTCCATGGTTACTGCATCAGTCCAAGGGCTTTCTCAGTGCATGCCTGTTGCCATTGGACACAGAGATGATGAGCTTCTTCTAGCTAGCTCCTCTCTCATCTTATGGATAACGCACACCATGAGATGAGATGAACGCGCATGCACAAACACGCTCCATTCACATTTTCTGTATAGATTTTTAGGACAATCCATCAATTGTCCCTTTTCAATTGAAGTTAGACGTATCATATTCATGAGTTGCATGTTTCGTCACAATATTGTTTTGAACGTTTGTTTTGGACTGATGCCCGGCTGAGCATTCTTCTCAATGCATCATTAATGAGCGGTGATGACGATTTCATCAAAAGGGCATTACAGTGGCTTGGAAATACTATGACATTAAAAATGAGGCAAATAATTAGTAAGAAAACCTTTTGTCATCAATTTGATGTTACCAGATTGACTTTAGATGCAGTATAACGTTAGCTAGCTAGCTAAGATTGAGGGCAGGCCACAGGATTTTAGCTAGCTAATGTTATCGTTGCTAGTTATTTTGACAAACTTTGCTAGCTAATGACAACGTTGCCATCTGTCTAAAGTAAATTTGACGACATGATAATGCTGGCAAAGTTGTTTCCTACTAAATATTTGACTACTTTAGCAATGTCATCGTATTTCCAGGCACTATAGTGTAATTTAGAAAAAATAGTAGTCAGCGTCCGTCCAGAATGACTGGGCTTATCACCACGGCTTGAGAACGTTCATAACAATGGCATGAGGCGACCAAGCGACTTGGTGCAACCTATGAATAAATTGGTTGTCACGGCAACAGAAGAACCCAGGTATTGTTACCATGGTGTTGGAGAACATAGGCTAGTGGAAAGAGCAGGGGGGTTAGATGTGATGGACACACACACACAGTCCCACAAAAAAACATACTCTGACACACACACACACACCTTCCCTATGTGATAGTTCTCTAATTCTCCAATGCAAGCGGCAATAAGATGGAATGACACAAAGCTCAAATCAATAGAGCTGAGAGTAGTGGAACACACACACACACACACTCACTGGCCACATCAATGACGAGGTTAGACGTTAAATAAACGAAGCTATTGTTCTGTAGGAAATATCTATTTCTAATTATTGTGTATTCTTTTTTCTTTTTTTCTCTCTCTCTCTCTTTTTGTTTGTTTGTTTCTCCCTTCCAGCAATAGACTTATTATATGGTGGAATATATTGTTTTGTGTGTCAAGACTACATATACGACAAAGAGATGGAACAGATTGCCAAAGAAGAACAGAGGAAAGCCTGGAAATTGCAAGGTACGGTGTTATTGGTCTCCAGCAATTCAGGCAACACTACTTTTGTGTCTATTTTTCCATTATCTCTAGTCCACCAAAAAAAGTCTAATTGATTTATATTCCTTCATGTATTTTAGCCTGTATTTATTTAACCTTTCTGATACAGATCACAATGTGGGGAGCTATGATAAACTGCATTTAGTGATTTTAAAGTAGTGGCAGCTGCATTCACATACACTATGTATACAAAAGTATGTGGACACCCCTTCAAATTAGTGGATTCGGCTATTTACATTTATTTCAACCACACTCGTTGCTGACAGGTATATAAAATCGAGCACACAGCCATGCAATCTCCATAAACAAACATTGGCAGTAGAATGGCCTTACTGAAGAGCTCAGTGACTTTCATTGTGGCACTGTCATTTTTATTTATTTTTATTTTATTTCACCTTTATTTAACCAGGTAAGCCAGTTGAGAACAAGTTCTCATTTACAACTGCGACCTGGCCAAGATAAAGCAAAGCAGTGCGATAAAAAAACAACAACAACACAGTTACATATGGGGTAAACAAAACGTACAGTCAAAAATACCACAGAAAATCTATATACAGTGTGTGCAAATGTAGCAAGTTATGGAGGTAAGGCAATAAATAGGCCATAGTGCAAAATAGTTACAATTTCGTATTAACACTGGAATGATAGATGTGCAAAAGATGATGTGCAAATAGAGATACTGGGGTGCAAATTAGCAAAATAAATAACAATATGGGGATGAGATAGTTGGATGGGCTAATTACAGATGGGCTGTGTACAGGTGCAGTGATCGGTAAGCTGCTCTGACAACTGACGCCTAAAGTCATAGGATGCCACCTTTCCAACAAGTCAGTTCGTCAAACTTCTGACCTGTTAGAGCTGCCCCAGTCAACTGTAAGTGCTGTTATTGTGAAGTGGAAATGTCTAGGAGTAACAACGTGTGGTAGGCCATACAAGCTCACAGAAAGGGACCGCCGAGTGCTGAAGTGCATAGCGCGTAAAAATTGTCTCACTACCGAGTTCCAAACTGCCTCTGGAAGCAACGTCAGCACAATAACTGTTTGTCGGGAGCTTCATGAAATGGGTTTCCATGGCCGAGCAGCCGCACACAAGCCTAAGATCACCATGCCTAATGCCAAACGTTGTCTGGAGTGGTGTAAAGCTCGCCGCCATTGGACTCTGGAGCAGTGGAAACGTGTTCTCTGGAGTGATGAATCACGCTTCACCATCTGGCAGTCCGATGGACGAATCTGGGTTTGACAGATGCCAGGAGAACGCTACCTGCCCCAATGCATAGTGCCAACTGTAAAGTTTGGTGGAGGAGGAATACGGGTCTGGGGCTGTTTTTCATGGTTCGGGCTAGGCCCCTTAGTTCCAGTGAAGGGAAATCTTAACACTACAGCATACAATTACATTCTAGATGATTCTGTGCTTCCAACTTTGATGCAAATGTTTGGGGAAGGCCCTTTCCTGTTTCAGCATGACAATGCCCCTGTGCACAAAGCAAAGTCCATACAGAAATGGTTTGTCGAGATCAGTGTGGAAGAACTTGACTGGCCTGCACAGAGCCCTGACCTCAACCCCATCGAACACCTTTGGAATTAATTGGTCACCAAAAGCTCAGTTCTTGTGACTACTTTCCCCAAAATGAATGATGATGAAGTTATGCTAACACCATATTGGTAAAATTATTTGTTTAAATTATGTTAACATATAGCCTATGCATGGTCCATATTATCAGGTATGCTATTTGCAATAAGAATTATAACCTGTAGCCCAACTGATGCAGCATAGTGGCTATAAATAAATAGGCTGAAGCATGGGGTTGCCTATCTGCATTTACCCTATTGGGCTAATCATTAGCTAGATCCCAAATGTTTTTTTTACTAGTTAGCATCTGATGAATTAAACAAAGTTAATATAATGTAGCCCTACCTGTTAGGGTAACTTGGGCTAAACCACCATCCAGGATAACACTGCCTGCACTTCTCACAGAAACCATTTCATGTTACCATTCCCCCCCCCTCCAGCACTTTCCCTGGTTACCACTACTCCTGCTCAACAAACAATGTAATCTATCTCATTACAATTTTAGTCAATCCAAACAATGATTTTGAGGTAGGGTGTTGTTTTACCCCAAGTTACTCTGCAATTTCCCTGTGTTACATTTAGCCCCACTCTCACCTATGCACTCACAGCGAATTGCAGACTAGTAATGTTCGTAATCATGGCGCTGCTAAAACCTCTGGGTTTAAAAAGATGCAGTTTGCATATATTTTAGAAATAAAGTAGGAATGGAAAGCTGGGATCCCCCTCTTTTTAACAAAGGCCATCAAAACTGCAGTTTTTCCCGCGATTGCAAGACATGTGCATTGACTGCTTTTCAGGTGGTGACTTGAATGTGCCTCGAGAGTAATATTTATCTCGCATAGAACACACAACAAAAAGCCGATTAGGTAACTAGATAAACTATTCTACTATGGGGTAGTCAGATTTTTCTATTCATTACTTGTTTTGTTTGCAGAGGAAAAGTAAATGGGGACTGTTCTAGAATCTTCAAAGTCACCCTTAGCAGATTGTTTTTTCATGTGCCATATTTTGGGGGGCGTGGCGTCAATGATTTTGTCGTGGCGCAGCGCCACATACAAATGACTGCAGCGGAACACTCGCACAGTGTCATCAGCATAAAAGTGTAGCTTACAGTTCTTCACTGAAGAACCAATATGGTTAATGTACAATGTGAATAGTAGTACTGGCCCTAGAATGAACCCCTGAGGCATGCCACTAGAATTTCCTTAGGTTCAGGTTTGAAAAGAAACTCCAGCACACTGGTGGTCTTCATGCTCCACAGATTTAATGGATCTTTGTACCAATGTTTTGGTCTCGATAGACCAGGGTTTCCCAACTGGTGGCCCGTGGGTGGTGTTATTTGGCCCCCAAAATAAAAAATACAAATAAAATAAGTTATTATTAAAAATATATTGTTGCACATAAATTACTGTAAAAACACCAGCAAATCAGCTCCAATGGATTTCTCAAGTGTTACAACTCATAATAGACATATGATCGTATACAGATGTTCAAGGTTTGAAATAATTGTTTTAGTCAAATATTATATATGTTTGGGCTTCTTGCGGTCAGTTTGCAGTCTACAAATTATTTGTAATTATGACCGGCCCCCCAACTATCCATTCAAGAAAAAATTGGCCCACGGGCCGAATCTAGTTGATGATCCCTGCAATAGACCTTCATCATAGCCTGGTCCCAGATCTGTTTGTGCTGTCCTAGCAACTCCTATGGTAATTGTCACACCAGTGACCGGAAGAGTTGGCAAACAGATCTGGGAACAGGCTACCTTCATCAAGGTTCAGGTTGAAAATATTGTTGGTTTCGTCAATGTCTCAACGATGTCTCTGTCTTTGTGACCAGGTGTAGGGGAGAAATACTCGACGTGGGAGCCTACGAAGCGAGAGCTGGAGTTACTACGGCACAATCCAAAGCGAAGGAAAATCACTACAAACTGCACCATTGGTGGGATATAGGCTGGTCCGCTGTCCGCACGTCCTTATGAAGTGCTAGCATGGTAGCATGGTCGATTTCATCACCCAGACAGCTGTGTGTGTGTGTGTGTGTGTGTGTGTGTGTAAGGGACAGAGACTGTCTGTGGTGTTGTCTGTATAGTCCAGGGTTACTCATGTATTTAAGTTGGGCCTGAAAGGTCAGCTGGAGTGATTAACACCACAGGTTAGCAGGCAGTAGCCCAGGGAGAGAGGGAGAGAGAGAATGCTCTGTTCCTTCTTCAATGACAAGTTCACACAACAGGGTGGTCTTCTCTTTCTCTCTTTTTTTTTTCTCTCGCTTCCTTTCTCAGTCTGTCGCTCTCTGTTTCTCACACTCTTTGTAGATTCAAACCTATTTAGGCCTATCTCTGTTTCTCACACTCTTTGTAGATTCAAACCTATTTAGGCCTATCTCTGTTTCTCACACTCTTTGTAGATTCAAACCTGTTTAGGCCTATCTCTGTTTCTCACACTCTTTGTAGATTCAAACCTATTTAGGCCTATCTCTGTTTCTCACACTCTTTGTAGATTCAAACCTGTTTAGGCCTATCTCTGTTTCTCACACTCTTTGTAGATTCAAACCTGTTTAGGCATATCTCTGTTTCATTCTTCCTCCTCTTCTCTTTCTAGATCTCTTTCTAGATCTCTCTGTCCTCTCTGTCCTCTCTCTGCGCCTCTCTCTGCAGTTATATATCTTGATTCATTCAGTCTCACTCCTTCTCTCTCTTTCTCCCTCCCGCTTGCTGTAATGAAACACTTGTAGAGAGTCCTACCAGCTGTCTCAGGGCCTTGGGGTGTTGGGTGTGGAGTGGGTCGAGTCTGGAGAGTTTAACCACCAGCCGAGAGCTCTATTCCTGGGCCAAAAAGGCTGGACCAGTCCCAGGCTCCACGCTGGGCCTCACCTGTTCTGTTCACTCAGGCCTTCGTGGTGGACCACAGCTTACAGCTTTCGTCTGCACTGCCCAAACCATGGCTATATTACACTAGCCCAAACCATGGCTATATTACACTAGCCCAAACCATGGCTATATTACACTAGCCCAAACCATGGCTATATTACACTAGCCCAAACCATGGCTACATTACACTAGCCCAAACCATGGCTATATTACACTAGCCCAAACCATGGCTATATTACACTAGCCCAAACCATGGCTACATTACACTAGCCCAAACCATGGCTACATTACACTAGCCCAAACCATGGCTACATTACACTAGCCCAAACCATGGCTAAACCATGGCTATTTACACTAGCCCAAACCATGGCTATATTACACTAGCCCAAACCATGGCTATATTACACTAGCCCAAACCATGGCTATATTACACTAGCCCAAACCATGGCTATATTACACTAGCCCAAACCATGGCTACATTACACTAGCCCAAACCATGGCTACATTACACTAGCCCAAACCATGGCTACATTACACTAGCCCAAACCATGGCTATATTACACTAGCCCAAACCATGGCTATATTACACTAGCCCAAACCATGGCTATATTACACTAGCCCAAACCATGGCTATATTACACTAGCCCAAACCATGGCTATATTACACTAGCCCAAACCATGGCTATATTACACTAGCCCAAACCATGGCTATATTACACTAGCCCAAACCATGGCTATATTACACTAGCCCAAACCATGGCTATATGACACTAGCCCAAACCATGGCTATATTACACTAGCCCAAACCATGGCTACATTACATCATTCCAAACCATGACTACATTACATAATTCCAAACCATGGTGAAATTTAGCACATTTACAGAACTGTTTATTATTTTTCATTGTCCCTGTCAAATAAATAAAGTAAATTAAAGCTTCCTTTACAGGAGATGGCAATGTTAGACCTTAATGTACTCCTCTCTCTGTTGCAGGAGAATGCACCTATAACTGTACCCCTCTTGATTGTTTGTCCCGAAGATAGGCCTACTTTTTCACATTCCCCCCTCTCTCTCTAAACCCCCCCCCCCCCCCGGCAGGTTTACGAGGGTTGATCAACCTGGGCAACACGTGCTTCATGAACTGCATCGTCCAGGCCCTCACCCACACCCCCCTGCTGCGGGACTTCTTCCTGTCCGACAGGCACAAGTGTGAGATGCAGTCCAACTCCTGTCTGGTGTGTGAGATGTCACAACTCTTTCAGGAGGTAAGGCCGGAGCTAGTGGGGATAGGGTTGCAATTTGCTAAATTCCGTCAAATTTCCCAGGTTTTTCAGAAATGTTTGTTGTTGGAGAATCAGGAGGGAATAATCAGGGAGGGAGTCCTCCAACTGGGATTTCTGGGAAAGACTGGAATGTTGCAACCCTAGGGCGGTCAAATGCAGTCTTCTAAGGGTTTGTGAGGCCAAAGGAAAACATATGAGATAGAATGACTGCAGAGGGGAGTCACTGACTGGATCACTGCTTTGTGGAGCTGGAGGGAAACAACTCTGTCTGAGTGGAATGAACTGAGTTCAACAAGAATGCCCTGCCGTATTATAGAGCTACAGTGTTTGGCATTTTATATCAACTCAGCTCACCAGTCTGTGTGTGAGGGGATGGGTGCGGGGGAGGGTGTCTGTCTTTGTCTGTCGGTCTCTGTGTGTATGTGTCTCAGTGTGTGTCTCCATACTTATCTCTAAATGCTAGCCTCCTTACCAATCGTTCACTACCAGTTCTGAATGTCTTTAGTACAGTCAGTTGGTTAGATTACATCCAATAAACTCAATGCCCCCTGAACATTACAGAACTTGTGCTCAGGTGTCTGTCTGCTCCTCCTCCTCCTCCTCCTCCTCCTCTCCTCCTCACACCCTCTCACTCTCTGGTGTGTATATATACACTGAGTGTAAAAAACATTACACCTGCTCTTTCCATGACATAGACAAGGCTTAAAAATTAAGATTTGAACAGTCTCCTCCCCTTCATCTACACTGATTGAAGTGGATTTAACAAGTGACATCAATAAGGGATCATAGCTTTCACCTGGATTCACCTGGTCAGTCTATGTCAGTGGTTACCAACTCCAGTCCCCCAGTACCCCCGACAGCACAAATGTTTGTTGTAGCCCCGGAAAAAAACCACCTGATTCAGCTCATTGAGGGCCTGATGATTAGTTGATAAGTTGAATCAGGTGTGCTTGTCTGGGGCTACAATAAAAATGTGTGCTGTTGGGGGGACTGGAGTTGGTAACCACTGACATAGACTGACCAGGTGAAAGCTATGATCTCTTATTGATGTCACTTGTTAAATCCACTTCAATCATGTAGATGAAGGGGAGGAGACAGGTTAAAGAAGGATGTTTAAGTCTAGAGACAATTGAGGCATGGATTGTGTATGTGTGCCATTCAGTGTATGAATGGGCAAGACAAAATATTTAAGTGCCTTTGAACGTGGTATGGTAGTAGGTGCCAGGCACACCGGTTTGTGTCAAGAACTGCAACGCTGCTGGGTTTTTCACGCTCAACAGTTTCCCATGTGTATCATGAATGGTCCACCACCCAAAGGACATCCAGCCAACTTGACACAACTGTGGGACGCATTGGAGTCAGCATGGGCCAGCATCCCTGTAGAACGCTTTCGACACCTTGTAGAGTCCATGCCCCAATTAATTGAGGCTGTTCTGAGGTCAAAAGGGGATGCAACTCAATATTAGGAAGGTGTTCCCCGGGCGGCCTCAGTGGGCTGATCCGTTCAGCTAGAACAAAGGGAGGGAGCAACCATTCACCTTCATCACATGGAGGAGCAACCGTTTAGTGTTCAGATGTGACAGCGTGAATCAACTAGTGTCTAGAGTAGACCAAGGAGAAAAGTTAAAAGCATACCCTTGGAGAATACTTGTCATGCTACAATGGAACTACAATAAAAGTTTCAGAACAAACATTTTGTGCTTGCTTATAACTATTCAGCTAGAGCGCATATCTCAGTCCCTCTCGCTCTGTTCTTGTCCCTTAGAGCCAGATGCACGCACATGCACACGCACACACTTCTCTTCCCTCTCTCCCAATCACGTTGCTCGTTCCTGCTCCACGCGTTCCTCCTCTCCTTTGAACTTGGCGCATGCAGCACCATCATCAGTACCAGGAAAGAGGGTCTGTTCCTCTGAGTCTGTACCCACACAGCTCCTCTCAGCCAGGGAGGCGATGGTCTTTGAACAACCCCTCCCCGTCTCCCTTCTTTTTATAGACTCAGCCTGCTTCAAACCGCAGCGCAGGACCAAAGAGCCTGTAAGATACATGATATAAGCTTATTTGTGTGTGCGTGAGTCAGGAGATTAAAGGTGTGTACTGTAATAGGCTTGCTTCTGCATTCAAGCAGAGCACTCTTTTCATTATGGTGTTGTTCTCTCCATCTCACACCCTGACCTAGACTGTCAATCATCCAATCCCCATAGCAACCTGGAGATTCAGCAGTCTGGTTTCACACACACTCTCTCTCTGGAAGTTCAGTGACTAGCATTCACTAACATATAATAGCATTTGCTAACAGGTTCTAGCATATATATTTTTTTTTTTTACAGATGATAGCTTTTGCTAACAGTTACTAGCATTTGCTAACATTTACCAACGTTTGCTAACAGTCACTAGCATTTGCTAGTGGATGCTAGCATTTGCTTACACTAATGTTAGATGCTTGGAGAAATTCATTCAAGTCAGGTTAGTTAGTTATGTCGATGGGCTCATGTAGTGGTAAGGCAGTGTTTCCCATGTGTTGTCGCCTGATTATTATTTATATTTTTTAACTGCTTGGTCCATAGAACCGGGGTTATGTCAGTAACCTCTAGTATCCGCTAGATGCGGTTGTAGTAAAGAGCGTTTTCTGTTTTCTTCCTACAACTGTGAGTCTATCTTTTGAACGGTTTAAGCTACAAAGTAGTATGACCCCATCGCTGAAAGATAAGACTCTCAGGAACACTTGTGTGTCTTCTGTTTCACTTTACAATGCCCACAAGCCGCGCAGGACTCAATTAAACAGATTGGACAAGACCAGGCACTAAATCAAACTGGGGGGGAAAGAACATCATCAATTATGTTATTTTCTACAGAGAAGATCATACAAAATTATTGTCTGATGATCTTCTGAACTTCCCAATACCTTTCTGATGCATTTCAGTCACTTCAAACTATACTTCCTTCGGCTAGAAATACTGTCAAAAGTACTGTAAAACTGATTTGCAATAGACTGTCATAGCTCCAATTAAAAAAAGTTGGCAATTGACTTACAACACCTTTGTTACATGGTGGGGTCGCTAAATGTTTTGGATATCAAAATGGGGTCGTGGGCCCAAAAAAGTTTGGAATCCCTGTGCTAATGTGTCAGCTATACAAAGAAAAACAGGCACTTTTCCCTTTCAGTGAAAATACAAGTTGAGTGTAGGTAAATTTAACAACATGGCTGCCAGATGTTAAATCCATGTTCTCCCACTAACCTACTTTATCTCCACAGTTCTACTCGGGCCACCGTTGGCCCCACATTCCCTTCCGGCTGCTGCACCTGGTGTGGACTCACGCACGTCACCTAGCGGGCTACGAGCAACAGGATGCCCACGAGTTCCTCATCGCAGCGCTGGACGTGCTGCACCGGCACTGCAAAGGAGACACCACCCGTAAGTATCGCCCTCCTAACTTATTACTTAAATACTGTAGTAAAGGTTCACTTAATAACTTACTCATAAATACAGTATAATACTGTAGTATTGTTAAAGAGAAGTGGCAGTTGAAATATATTGTATATTTTCAGTGTAACTGCACTCATTGCAGTACAGACAGTGTGAGTGTATTGTAACCGAAGAGAGATGTTCTGATTCTTCTTGCGGGTAGCTTAGTGGTTAAGAGTGTTGTGCCAGTAACCGAAAGGTCGCTGGTTCTAATCCTCTAGCCGACTAGGTGAAAAATCTGTCGATGTGCCCTTGAGCAAGGCACTTAACCCTAATTGCTCCTGTAAGTCGCTCTGGATAAGAGCGTCTGCTAAATGACTAAAAATGTAAAAATGTAAATGTAAATCAGAGACCAAAGTGGTTTTCGTCAAGACAAGATGTATGATAAATGTATGAGATTTACAATGTCATTGTGTGGTTTAAAACGGAATATTATCAGTTAGCCTACAGTTGAAATAGGTTATAAGAGAGAACAGATTTGTCACGTCTGTCTGCCTGCATAAATTCTGCATGCGCTGAATCCTCAGTTGTGTCAATCGAAACGCCACTTTTGCCAAGGAGACACGTCTGTGTCAAATCTACCCATAATGCAGTGTTGTCCGCACTCAGCACCAGTGGAAATGTACTGAAGGGATTGAGTGAAGGGAAAGTGACAATGCCACGCACCGAAGGGACAGAGAGCATTGTGGGGGGAATGACAATGTGCCCCACTGCACCGCAATGACACAGACAGGTCTGACTCAGACATAGAGAGGGTCCCGGCAGTAAGGAGGCCTCTGATTTGCAGTAAGGTAGAGGTTGTTTAGAGGTGCTAGAGAGAGAGAGAGAGCGGAAGAGACAGGGGGAGAGAGAGAGAGAGAGAGAGAGCTTTAAAAGTGCGTCCACAGTGGGTGTTGTGTGCTCGCTCTCTATCTGTGTTCTGTTGGTTACCTAGGAGATGACAACGGGAAGAAGGCCAACAATCCGAACCACTGTAGCTGCATCATTGACCAAATTTTCACCGGCGGCCTCCAATCAGACGTCACCTGTCAAGTCTGCCAGTAAGTGTGTGTGTGCGAGCGCCTCATCTTCTTTCCACTAGCCAACATCCCCCGTGTGTGTGTGGACGTGTTTAAACAAAAACATTTTTGGGGACATTTTGTTGGTCCCCACAAGGTCAAATGCTATTTTTAGGGTTAAGGTTAGGTTTTTAGGTTAGGGTTAAGGAAAAAGTATGGGTTAGGGGTTAGGGAAAATATGATTTTTAGTTGGACTGAGTTGTGTGTCCCCACAAGGTTAGATGTACAAGACTGTGTGTGTGTGTGGAAGAAGGAAAAGGTTGTATGTGTCAAGACTGCTAAAAGACTCACATTTGACATTTTGACATCTGACATCGCCAGGAGGCAAGAACTCCTTTCCTCTGCTCTCTCACCTCCCATCCTCCTCCTCCCTCTTCTCCTCTGCTCTCACCTCCCATACTCCTCCCTCTTCTCCTCTGCTCTCTCACCTCCCATCCTCCTCCTCCCTCTTCTCCTCTGCTCTCACCTCCCATCCTCCTCCCTCTTCTCCTCTGCTCTCTCACCTCCCATCCTCCTCCTCCCTCTTCTCCTCTGCTCTCTCACCTCCCATCCTCCTCCTCCCTCTTCTCCTCTGCTCTCGCCTCCCATCCTCCTCCTCCCTCTTCTCCTCTGCTCTCACCTCCCATCCTCCTTCTCCCTCTTACCCCCTCCTTTCTCCCCTGCTCTACCCTCCCTTGCCCTTCTCCCTCTGATATCAGCTTCCTTCCTATTACCTTACTCCCTCCTTCCCTCCCTCCATCCTTTCTCCCCTACACTCCCATTCTCCCAGTGCCCACTACCCTCTCCTTGTGCTACAGTTGATTAATCAGCCTAGACCCCACTACCTTCTTGTGCTACGGTTGATTAATCAGCCTAGACCCCACTACCCTCTCCTTGTGCTACGGTTGATTAATCAGCCTAGACCCCACTACCCTCTCCTTGTGCTACGGTTGATTAATCAGCCTAGACCCCACTACCCTCTCCTTCTGCAACAGTGGATTTATCAGTCTGGAGTGACTCACCTCCCACTGCCTCCTCTGTCCTCTCCCTCCCCTACCTCTCTTCCCCACTCCCACCTACCTCTCTCCCCCACAGTCTCACCTACCTCTCTCCCCCAGTCTCACCTACCTCTCTCCCCTCTTGCTCTCACCTCTCCCATTCTCCCAGTGCTTCCTGCCTTAGTACTCTCTTCTAGTGCCACAGTGGTCCTCTCCCTTCCACTCCCCCTGTCCTCTCCCTTCCACTCCCCCTGTCCTCTCCCTTCCACTCCCTCTGTCCTCTCCCTTCCACTCCCCCTGTCCTCTCCCTTCCACTCCCCCTGTCCTCTCCCTTCCACTCCCCCCGTCCTCTCCCTATTTCCACCCCCTTCCAACTCTCTCCCTTCCACTCCCCCTGTCCTCTTCCCTTCCACTCCCCCTTTCCCTCTCCCTTCCACTCTTCCTGTCTTCTCCCTTCCTCTCCCTTCCACACCTGTCCCCTTTCACTGCACTTCCTCCCTCATCCCTTGTTCTTCCCTTCACTCCCCTGTCACTTCCCTTCGATCCTGTCTTCCTCTCCTGCCCTTCCTGTTACATTACACAGGCTCCCACTGTCCCCTCCCTCAGTCACCTTCTCACTGCACACTTCCTGTCAACTCCTTGCACTCTCCACTGCATCTTCCCATTGCTCACTCCGCTGTCCGGGCTCCACCTGGCTACATCCACACCCATTTGCTCCTCTACCTGTCGACTACTCCAATTACCTCTCCTTCGGGCTACCCCTTCCATCATCCCTTCACTGTCCTGCTTCCAATTCCCTGACTCTCGCTAGCTTCTCCATATCACCCCTGCTCGTCAGCTTCACTCCCCATTACCTCTGTAGCTACTCCCATACCTTCCTGATCCTTCTGCTACCCAGTTCACCTGCTTGGCCTTTTCTAAACCTGCCTCACTTAGCCACTCCAACACTGCCCTTCACTGCACTCCTCTCATATTTAATTCATGGTCCTCTCCTCCCCGTGTAGCTGCTGTTGGGAGGTGGTTCTCTAGACGCTGGGCTGTCCTGTCACATTAACACAGAGCACACTGCACTCTAGTGCACTCTACTGCACACTATTGCAATCTTTGCACTCTACTGCATATTACACAGTGCTACACGGCTAGCCGGGCTCAGCCACACCTGGCCACACACAACACAACACAGAAGTTTGCTCCCATTAACTGTAGGACTAGCTCCAATATACCTGACTGTCGGGCTAGCTCCAATATACCTGTCTGTCGGGCTAGCTCCAATATACCTGACTGTAGGGCTAGCTCCAATATACCTGACTGTCGGGCTAGCTCCCAATATACCTGACTGTCGGGCTAGCTCCAATATACCTGACTGTCGGGCTAGCTCCAATATACCTGACTGTAGGGCTAGCTCCAATATACCTGACTGTAGGGCTAGCTCCAATATACCTGACTGTCGGGCTAGCTCCAATATACCTGACTGTCGGGCTAGCTCCAATATACCTGACTGTGGGCTAGCTCCAATATACCTGACTGTCGGGCTAACTCCAATATACCTGACTGTAGGGCTAGCTCCAATATACCTGACTGTAGGGCTAGCTCCAATATACCTGACTGTAGGGCTAGCTCCAATATACCTGACTGTAGGGCTAGCTCCAATATACCTGACTGTCGGGCTAGCTCCAATATACCTGACTGTAGGGCTAGCTCCAATATACCTGACTGTAGGGCTAGCTCCAATATACCTGACTGTAGGGCTAGCTCCAATATACCTGACTGTAGGCTAGCTCCAATATACCTGACTGTCGGGCTAGCTCCAATATACCTAACTGTCGGGCTAGCTCCAATATACCTGACTGTAGGGCTAGCTCCAATATACCTGACTGTAGGGCTAGCTCCAATATACCTGACTATAGGGCTAGCTCCAATATACCTGACTGTAGGGCTAGCTCCAATATACATGGGTAGAACAGCTATTGAAACCTGCGATTTTGCAGTTTCCTACTACAAAGCATGTAGGTCTGTATCTCTTTATCATAGTACCTTACTGTGGAGACGAATCTAATACAAAATCGAGGAAACACATTGTATGAATTTAACGTATTCATTTGCAGGTTATTGCAATATACTGCCATAGCCCACTGGTACGAGAGTCAGTATTACCCTCCATAGGCCCCTACTGTGACAGAGACGGTAATAACCCCTCATAGCCCATGACAACACAGTAGAACCCTCATACCCTATGGAATGACGTAAGTAACCCTCATATGCCCCTATTGGACAAGACATTAGCACCTCATAGTCCCTACTGTGAAGAGACTAGTACCCTCCATACCCTGACTGGACAGGACAGTAGTACCACTCATAGCCCTGACTGGACGAGACGTAGTACCCATCATATACCCTACTGGACGGAGTAGTACCCCTCCATACCCCTACTGACGGACATAGTACCCCCTCCATACCCCTATGACAGACATGACCCACCTGGCGTCCTTATACTTACAAGAAGTAACCCCCCGAATCAACTGGACAGAGACTACATCCACCTACTATACCAATACAGCATAGTACCCCCCCATAGCCCCCTATGGACAGAGACATATAACCCTCCATACCCAAGCTAGACAAGAGACAGTAGTAACCCCCTCCATAGCCCCCTACGGGAAGAGACATTGTAACCCCCTCCATAGGCCCCCTACTGGGACCAGAGACAGTATTAACCCCCTCCATAGCCCCCTACTGGGACGAGACAGTTAGTAACCCCCTCCATAGCCCCCTACTGGACAGAGACAGTAGTAACCCCCTCCATAGCCCCCTATTGGACAGAGACAGTAGTAACCCCCTCCATAGCCCCCTACTGGACAGAGACGGTAGGAACCCCCTCCATAGCCCCCTATTGGACAGACACAGTAGTAACCCCCTCCATAGCCCCCTACTGGACAGAGACAGTAGTAACCCCCTCCATAGCCCCCTACTGGACAGAGACAGTAGTAACCCCCTCCATAGCCCCCTACTGGACAGAGACAGTAGTAACCCCCTCCATAGCCCCCTACTGGACAGAGACAGGTAGTAACCCCCTCCTGACTACTAATATGACCAAGAGTATGAATATTAACACACACACACACACCAGTCTTTCTAGCAACCCACATTACCTCATAACTCACTCATACACACACAATGTATCTCATTGAGCCTCTCCCCTCCCCTCTCTAGCGGTGTGTCCACCACAATAGACCCATTCTGGGACATCAGTCTGGACCTGCCGGGCTCGTCCACTCCCTTCTGGCCCCTCAGCCCCGGGGGAGACGGCTCAACGGTCAACGGAGAGAGCCACCTCTCAGGGGCCACCACGCTCACAGACTGTCTACGCAGGTATGACCACACGAGACGTCTGTCTGTCCCTCCCCATGTCTTTCACCACGTCTATCCCTCTCTAGATGTCTGTCTGTCTGTCTGTCTGTCTGTCCGTCCCTCCCCATGTCTTTCACCACGTCTATCCCTCTCTAGATGCCTCTGTCTGTCCGTCCCTCCCCATGTCTTTCACCACGTCTATCCCTCTCTAGATGCCTGTCTGTCTGTCTGTCCATTCCCATGTCTTTCACCACGTCTATCCCTCTCTAGATGTCTGTCTGTCTGTCTGTCTGTCCGTCCCTCCCCATGTCTTTCACCACGTCTATCCCTCTCTAGATGTCTGTCTGTCTGTCTGTCCCTCCCCATGTCTTTCACCACGTCTATCCCTCTCTAGATGCCTGTCTGTCTGTCCGTCCCTCCCCATGTCTTTCACCACGTCTATCCCTCTCTAGACGCATGTCTGTCTGTCCGTCCCCATGTCTTTCACCACGTCTAACCCTCTCCTCTCCACTAGACGCCTGTCTGTCCGTCCGTCTCCACTTCATATGGGCTACCATAAACATAGTATGCTGTCTAGTCTACTCTCATCTTCTATCCTACATGTACATATTACTTCAACTACCTCAACTAGCCGGTGCCCCCGCCCATTGACTCTGCACCGGTACCCCCCTGTATATATAGCCTCCCTACTGTTATTTTATTTTACTTCTGCTCTTTTTTTCTCAACACTTTTTTGTTGTTTAATTCTACTTTTTTATTAAAAATAAATGCACTGTTGGTTAAGGGCTGTAAGTAAGCATTTCACTGTAATGTCTGCACCTGTTGTATTCGGCGCATGTGGCCAATAACATTTGATTTGATTTGATCTCTCTCTCCACCTCTGCTACCACAATCATATAACCTGACTCTCTCTCTCTCTCTCTCTCTCTCTCTCTCTCTCTCTCTCTCTCTCTCTCTCTCTCTCTCTCTCTCTCTCTCTCTCTCTCTCTCTCTCTCTCTCTCTCTCTCTCTCTCCCCTGTAATTTGATGAATGTCAATTTGCTCTTCTTTATCTTCCATCTCCTCTGTTTCCTGTGTCCTCACTTCCTCTCTGTTCCTCCTCCTTATTCCTCTCCTTCCTGTACTCCATCCCCAGTCACAGCCTGGGTGCTGTAGCATGCCTCTTAAAGGTACAGACAGGGCTGAGTCTGAGGGTTGAAAACATTGTTATAATATACACACTTCAAATCAAATTGTTTTTGCCACATGCGCCAAATACAACAGGTGTAGACATTACCGTGAAATTCTTACTTACAGCCCTTAACCAACAATGCATGTATTTTTTAATAAAAAAGTAAAATAAAACAACAACAACTAAAAACCTTTTGAGGATCTGAGTACTCATGCCAAATCTTTTCAGTCTCCTGAGGGGGAATAGGCTTTGTCGTGCCCTCTTCACAACTGTCTTGGTGTGTTTGGACCATGATAGTTCGTTGGTGATGTGGACACCAAGGAACTTGAAGCTCTCAACCTGTTCCACTACAGCCCCGTCGATGAGAATGGGGGCGTGCTCAGTCCTCTTTTTTTTTTCCCCGTACTCCACAATCATCTCCTTTGTCTTGGTCAAGTTGAGGGAGAGGTTGTTATCCTGGCACCACACGGCCAGGTCTCTGACCTCCTCCCTATAGGCTGTCTCATCGTTGTCGGTGATCAGGCCTACCACTGTTGTGTCGTCTGCAAACTTAATGATGGTGTTGGAGTCGTGCCTGGCCATGCAGTCATGGGTGAACAGGGAGTATAGGACGGGACTGAGCACGCACCCCTGAGGGGTCCCCGTGTTGAGGATCAGCGTGGCAGATGTGTTGTTACCTACCCTTACCACCTGGGGGCGGCCCGTCAGGAAGTCCAGGATCCAGTTGCAGAGGGAGGTGTTTAGTCCCAGGATCCTTAGCTTAGTGATGAGCTTTTGAGGGCACTATGGTGTTGAACGCTGAGCTGTAGTCAATTAATAGCATTCTCACGTAGGTGTTCCTCTTGTCCAGGTGGGAAAGGGCAGTGTGGAGTGCAATAGAGATGGCATCATCTGTGGATCTGTTGGGGCGGTATGCAAATTGGAGTGGGTCTAGGGTTTCTTGGATAATGATGTTGATGTGAGACATGACCAGCCTTTCAAAGCACTTCATGGCTACAGACGTCAGTGCTACGGGTTGGTAGTCATTTAGGCAGGTTATCTTAGTGTCCAATGTATTGGGCACGCATTCTTAGTGGTGTGCTAGTGTGGATGTTGGATTGTTTTGGTTCATTCGGATCCCCGTTTAGCTTTTGCCAAGCAGAAGCTATTCTTCCTGGGGTCCTAGCCTTGGGAACATATGCTGCAGTGTGTGAAGTCTTTCTCTCTCGCTGATGAACAGTATCAGTCCTTAGTCACTTCGTTGACCACCATTGTTGGCCTCCCCCCTACAGAACACTGGTGACTTCACTGTTCCATCGACAGGCGTGGTCTGATCGGTGCTTAGCACTATATTGCAGCCTCTTGCAGTGTAACCATGGAAACAGACCTGTTATGTATCACTACAAACAAATTCGTATCTATTGTCTTTATATCTGTCTCTTCTTTACACACTGAGTGTACAAAACATTCTTTCCATGACAGACTGACCAGGTGAATCCGGGGTATGGTAATAGGTGCCAGGCGTACCGGTTTGTGTCAAACTGCAACGCTGCTGGGTTTTTCACGCTCTACAGTTTCCCGTGTGTGTCATCCCTGTGGAACGCTTTCGACACTTTGTAGAGTCCATCCCCCGCCGAATTGAGGCTCTTCTGACGGGGTGCAACTCAATATTAGGAAGGTGTTCCTGATGTTTTGTACACTCGGTGTGTTTCTACTTTATCTGTCTCTGTACCCTCTGAATGTATTATCTTCCCTCATTCTCTCTTCCCCCACCCCTTTCACTCCCCTCTCTCTCTCTCTCTCTCTCTCCTCATTCTCTCTCTCTCTATATACTCTCTCTCTGTCCCACCCTCCATCCCTCTCGCTCTCTTATCATTCCACTCCCTCTCTCTGCAGGTTCACTCGGCCTGAGCATCTAGGAAGCAGTGCCAAAATCAAATGTGGTGGTTGCCATAGTTACCAGGAGTCCACCAAACAGCTGACGATGAAGAAGCTCCCCATCGTGGCGTGTTTCCATCTCAAAGTGAGTCTCTCTCCATCGTGACGTGTTTCCAGCTCAAAGTGAGTCTCTCTCTGCTCCCGGCCAATCACAAGAGGCCTGCCATGACCACTAAGGACAATGTATTTAAATACAATATAAGAACATATGATATATTGAAGTGTAATAATATATAATAAATATATTTAAATACACTAATATATGAACATATCATGTCACACAATTCATTGTCATTCTCACTGTATGCTTATATAGAGGCCTATTATAACTACTGCTATCATTTTTTCTGTGTGGAAAGATTTGCCTTCCATTACTGTCACTACACCACACACACACAGTCTCTCTCTCACACACACACACACACACACACACACACACACACACACACACACATACTCAGTCCTCTACATGTTTTATTTATGGAGATGTGGGGGGCCATACATAAGCTTTTTATAATATTCATAGGGCTGTGCTGAACGTGGGATTCTCTCTGCTCTTCAGACTGATCCATGGCTGTTCTGATTCATCTATTACCATCAGGGCTCAAGTCTAACAGGGCTCTCTATTTCTCACAAGTAATCCCTCCCTTCAAAATGACCAGAAGATCAGGGATGAGTCTAAATCATGTGTCTCTCTCTTTCTCTCTCTCCCCTCCCCCTCTCTGCTCTCCCTCTACCCCCTCTCTCATTTCTGGTCCCTCTCTTCTCTCCCCTCCCCCTCTCTTTCTCCCTCTTTCCCCTATCTTCTTTCCTCCCTCCTGGGGTGTAGCGGTTTGAACACTCTGCAAAACTGAGGAGGAAGATCACCACATATGTCTCCTTCCCTCTAGAGCTGGACATGACACCTTTCATAGCTTCCAGGTGGGGTAACACACACACTGCAGATCTAAGCTCTGCTTTGGAAATATAAGACCCTCACTCCTCCTGCTCCAGCGCTATCAAATAATGAGATGTGTGTATGAACGCTGTGTGTGTTTTGTGTTCTCCATCCTCCACCATCAGGGCATGGGATATAACGTTCCTACAGTACCTTCCTACTGTCTATTCGTCATAAACCCTACCTTCCTACTGTCTATTTGTCATATACCCTAGCTACCTATCTACTGTGTATTCACCATTGGACAATGCTTTGGGGATGCCAGTGCCACACCTCTGGCTGTAACGGCAGTAGTCATGTAGTTCTGGCTGAAACGGCAGTAGTCATGTAGTTCTGGCTGAAACGGCAGTAGTCATGTAGCTCTGGCGCTAACGGCAGTAGTCATGTAGCTCTGGCTGAAACGGCAGTAGTCATGTAGCTCTGGCTGTAACGGCAGTAGTCATGTAGCTCTGAATGTAGTGAGTGGCAGATCAATGGACAGAGAAATAGGAGAGTGTAGGAGACTCTCCGCTGTCTGCCTGCTTATTATACAGGACACCCATGCCCCCTAGTGGATATGTGGTACATGACACCCAGCGCAACATTGGAATAAGTGTTTCAACACTTTCATGTCATCCTCTGGGGTCTTTGTACTTGTAAATAGTTTATAACTGGACAAATTGTTTTACCCCAAAATCAATCAATCAATCAAAGACACAGTATTATGTCTGAATACTCATGACAGAATTCTAGTATGTGGTAACACTTTCCTTCATAACACTGTCATACAATGACATAACAGATTGTATTAACAGTCATCCTTGCCTTTCTTGCACTATCACTCACACTTGTATTTTCTTACTAGCACTGACTTTGCCGATTAACTTCTTTATTGAGGAGAAATGAGCGTACTATGACTGTGATATGTGGTTTTCTCACCCAGCTACCTTAAGATGAATGCACTTTAAGTCGCTGGGGATAAGAGCGTCAGCTTAATGACTAAAATGTAAATGTAACCGTCACTGTGAGACTGTCATTTGAATGGCTGTGTAACCATGTATGTCTCTGTTACATATTGGATGATTTTCTTCTAAGTGTCATTTGATATGAGCATGCATGTGACTGAGTGTCTCTGTCCTCGACAGTAAAGAGAGCAGAGTGAATGGCCACTATCAACAGACAGTAGATGTGTTAAACAACGACAATAAGTAAGTATGTCCAAGTTTATTATGTGTTATGGTAAACAACAGCAACATATCGCCAGTAAACAGCACCAGGTCTGGGTTCAAATAAGATTGAAATGTTGTTTCAATACTGTATCTGGGCTTGATTGAGCTTGCCTTGCACAATGGAACCAATTCAATAGTTGCAAGTGCAAACATCGCCCACCTAGCACTCCAGGCAGGCTAAAGCAAACGCTGAAAGTATTTCAAAGATTTCAAATAGTATTTGAACCTAGGTCTGAATAACACCGTTGTCAACTGTTGCTAGGGTTTCCTTGTATGCCGTTTGTCATTTATTTGACAACAGGTGCACAGAAAAAAAGCTAGATTAATTTCATTATAATTGTTTCCATTCTAGCACAACAGCGAACGTTAACGGCGTGGAGCGTCCTAGTCCGACTCCCAAATGAAATAAATGAAACACTATTAAAAGTAGCTATATTTTTCTCATCCATGGCAGTTACAATGGCATTCCTTTTCCAATACATTTACCAGGGTTAAATGAATCAGTGTTATACAGTACCATTTCTAGATGGTAGTTTAGACAAGAGTATTCCTGACCATGGTCCGTGTGACTATTTAAATTGATGGCCCCTCTGACTAGTTCACATGGTCAGAGAAATAGATGTATAAACTAAGAGGAAGCCAGAATAATCAGGTGAAGTCGCTATATACCACCAGCTGTGTTATAAAGTACTTTACTTCCCCTCCCTTGCTTCTCCACTAACTCTCCACTGTCCCTGTGCGTGTTCTGTTGAACCAGGTATTCTCTGTTTAACTCTCCACTGTCTCTGTGTGTGTTGTGGTGGACCGGGTATTCTCTGTTTAACTCTCCACTGTCTCTGTGTGTGTTGTGGTGGACCAGGTATTCTCTGTTTAACTCTCCACTGTCTCTGTGTGTGTTGTGGTGGACCGGGTATTCTCTGTTTAACTCTCCACTGTCCCTGTGCGTGTTGTGTTGAACCAGGTACAGTGAGGGAAAAAAGTATTTGATCCTCTGCTGATTTTGTACGTTTGCCCACTGACAAAGAAATTATCAGTCTATAATTTTAATGGTAGGTTTATTTGAACAGTGAGAGACAGAATAACAACAACAACAAATCCAGAAAAACGCATGTCAAAAATGTTATAAATTGATTTGCATTTTAATGAGGGAAATAAGTATTTGACCCCCTCTCAATCAGAAAGATTTCTGGCTCCCAGGTGTCTTTTATACAGGTAACGAGCTGAGATTTGGAGCCCACTCTTAAAGGGAGTGCTCCTAATCTCAGCTTGTTACCTGTATAAAAGACACCTGTCCACAGAAGCAATCAATCAATCAGATTCCAAACTCTCCACCATGGCCAAGACCAAAGAGCTCTCCAAGGATGTCAGGGACAAGATTGTAGACCTACACAAGGCTGGAATGGGCTACAAGACCATCGCCAAGCAGCTTGGTGAGAAGGTCACAACAGTTGGTGCGATTATTTGCAAATGGAAGAAACACAAAAGAACTGTCAATCTCCCTCGGCCTGGGGCTCCATGCAAGATCTCACCTCGTGGAGTTGCAATGATCATGAGAACGGTGAGGAATCAGCCCAGAACTACACGGGAGGATCTTGTCAATGATCTCAAGGCAGCTGGGACTATAATCACCAAGAAAACAATTGGTAACACACTACGCCGTGAAGGAACTGAAATCCTGCAGCGCCCAAAAGGTCCCCTTGCTCAAGAAAGCACATATACAGGCCCGTCTGAAGTTTGCCAGTGAACATCTGAATGATTCAGAGAAGAACTGGGTGAAAGTGTTGTGGTCAGATGAGACCAAATCGAGCTCTTTGGCATTTACTCAACTCGCCGTGTTTGGAGGAGGAGGAATGCTGCCTATGACCCCAAGAACACCAAACCCCACCGTCAAACATGGAGGTGGAAACATTATGCTTTGGGGGTGTTTTTCTGCTAAGGGGACAGGACAACTTCACCGCATCAAAGGGACGATGGACGGGGCCATGTACCGTCAAATCTTGGGTGAGAACCTCCTTCCCTCAGCCAGGGCATTGAAACTGGGTTGTGGGTTGGTATTCCAGCATGACAATGATCCAAAACACACGGCCAAGGCAACAAAGGAGTGGCTCAAGAAGAAGCACATTAAGGTCTCCAGACCTTAATCCCATAGAAAATCTGTGGAGGGAGCTGAAGGTTCAGTTGCCAAACGTCAGCCTCGAAACCTTAATGACTTGGAGAAGATCTGCAAAGAGGAGTGGGATAAAATCCCTCCTGAGATATGTGCAAACCTGGTGGCCAACTACAAGAAACGTCTGACCTCTGTGATTGCCAACAAGGGTTTTGCCACCAAGTACTAAGTCATGTTTTGCAGAGGGGTCAAATACTTATTTCCCTCATTAAAATGAAAATCAATTCATACCATTTTTTTCAAAACATGCATTTTTCTGGATTTTTTGTTATTCTGTGTCTCACTGTTCAAATAAACCTACCATTAAAATTATAGACTGATCATGTCTTTGTCAGTGGGCAAACGTACAAAATCAGCAGGGGATCAAATACTTTTTTCCCTCACTGTATTCTCTGTTTAACTCTCCACTGTCCCTGTGCGTGTTGTGTTGAACCAGGTGTTCTCTGTTTAAATCTCCACTGTCTCTGTGTGTGTTGTGGTGGACCAGGTATTCTCTGTTTAAATCTCCACTGTCCCTGTGTGTGTTGTGGTGGACCAGGTATTCTCTGTTTGCGGTGGTGAACCACCAGGGCACCCTGGAGAGCGGCCACTACACCAGCTTCATCCGCCAACACAAGGACCAGTGGTTCAAGTGTGACGACGCCATCATCACAAAGGCCAGCATCAAGGACGTGCTGGACAGTGAAGGGTGGGTAGTCAGACACCAGGGTCATATTCTTTAGAAAACAGACTGAAAGAAAAGACTACCCAATAGAAAAACGCTCTGTTTCGTTTTCCATTGTAAAAGGTTTTGACCGTGGGTCGTGTTCAGTGGGGTACGCTGTAACAAAACGTTTTTCAACAGAAAACAAAAGGTTATGTTGTTATTGAACAAGTTCAGGTAGTACCAAGTTCCTCTCAGTTGATTTGGAAGTGGACTTCCTGTGGGATTGCAGTTCGATACCCGGGTCAAGTTCAGAACGACCTGGACAACTACTGCTACTACTTAACAATAACAACACAGATTTTCATTTTTTTTTTTTGCAAAGCGTTTTGTGTGCCCTTCTGAACACAACGTTAGATTGCCTTCAATTTAGATTCAATTGACCCCAACTCTAGGGGTCGATTCCATCCAAACACATTCTTATAGGGTTAACAACACTGAACAACCCCACACAAACTAACCACATTTAAGTCTAACTCTTTTCATGTACTACTACTAATAATAATCACATTTAAGTCTAATAGCTATTTCCTTTCCCCTCAGGTATCTCCTATTCTATCACAAGCAGTTCCTGGAATATGAGTAGCCTTACCTTGGAGACCGCTGACTCTGCGGAGAACCAACCCAACGCTCAAAGAGATGAGAGGAACCAACCAATAACTGGGGAACAGAGGACGATAAAACACGAACACACAGAGAGTCTAACATAAACAATGACTAATAAATAGTGAAAATTCATGCAAAACCTGTGTTCAAAAACAGCACTGAGCTCCCGGCATCTACTTGACACACTGAATAGAGAAAGAGAAGGAGGAAAAGTGGAGTGGCATGGGGGGGAGGAGCCCTCCCCTCACTCTCCCTCACTCCGCCCCTTTTCTGACAGTGGGGCGGAGCCTTGGCGAGAGTGATTGACAGTTCTGTGGAGAGGAAAGAGGGCACATTGGGGCTACAAACCCCAAAAACGACAGTATTCGATTCTGACTTCCTGTTTCTTTCCTCATGGTGCTCTCGTTTCAACTGACCAAGCATTTACCATACAGTCACGATGGGATGAGATTGTAGACGTCTTCAGATCCATACAGAACTGAATGCAAAAACTATATATACTACAACAACAAAACAAAAGTATGGTATTATTTTTTTTAAACAGCAAACATTTTCTTTTTTCCTAAAAGATATGGTTATGATTCTTATCATTTGAATTTAGTTCTGGAATGCTGTATGATCCCTCTAGTACATCTATTTTTTTAAAGAGGAAAAGTCAGAGAACTGAGAGCGCGAGACGCCATCCTTGCTAGTTTCCTGGTAAGCGTAGCCAAACACGAAAAATGGACTTGGAGCAAACTGAACGTACCCGTGTTCAAACTATTTTTTGTGTTTTTATTTTTTTGTTTAATTTCGGTTGAGGGCAGGGAATATCAATTTTTTTATTTAGCGACTCGTTCATTGAAATTCTTTGTTTACCGTTTCTTTCCAGTGTCCATGTTCTTCTAGTCGTTCTGTTTTGTTGCGGTGCAGTAATGTCCCTTCCTTGTTGTCATGGTACCTTCAGAAGATGTTTTTTTGGATGTAGTATTCTTTATTATCGTGGAAAGTTTTGTTGGGTATATAATGATGGTGGTGATTTAAATTGGCTCACTTTTGGCTGTTGAAACATGTATTTTGGGGATAAGCTGTAGGTTTCTTGTGGCATTATGAAGTAGAGGCAACTGTAGCTTGGTCACAGATCTGTTAGTGCTGTCTTGCTAGCTGGCATGGTATCACAAACAGATCTGGGACCAGGCTAGGCACAGTATGCAGTATATTTAGAGGATTAGAGGCCATGGCTATCAGACTGCTGTGGGTCTTTTTAGAATGCAACCACTCAAACTGAAGCCCTCTGCAACACAGTAGGGTGCATACTTGGGGGAAATCGGAAATACTTGGCTGATGAAAGATTGCATGTACACGGTGGCGCTGTCTGTTTGCTGCACCCTCTCCAGCTTTGAATCCATCAGTGTTCTCTTAATATCCATAACAACAACAACCACACGTGGCTTGTTCAGACCAAGGTTGTGTTCATTAGGCACCAAATGGAAGAAAACTGACTGAAACAGGGAGGGACTGCTTGGGCTTGTCCAATGAGAAACGCTCATTTAAATTTTCCATGGCAAAACGTTTTAAAACGTTATCCATCGCGTGCCCTGATGAGCACGACCCAATGTGGCTCGAGGTATATTGCATCTGCAGTGCGGTAACACAGTGCTCTATCCAATCAGTATGCTGTCTGAATTCTGAGTTTAAAAAGAAAAAAACCAATGTGTTGTTGTGTATTTTATGTTTGAATATCACTGTGTATGTAAAGATTGAAAAAGAAATGTGGGAAAATGTATACCACATTGATACCACAACACTTTGGGTCTGGTTCAGCTGCTCGGTAAACAAACAAGTAAAAAAAATATATATATATATATCCTCTGGTCTGCTACAGATTAGTCCATTATTGAACCCTGAGCCTGAACAGATGGGGGGTCGAAGAACAGAGAAATTGCATGTTTTAAATGGTCGCACCACCAAGGCTTCCGATGCATTATGGTGGTCTGAGAGAAGAGCGCCACCCAGAGGTCATTCAGTAATGCAGCCCTAACGTATGAGGAGGTGAGAGGAGATAGACATTCTGTTTCAGTGATTAAACTCGGAACAAAACTTTTTTCTCTTTAATATAACATACTCTGTGTCACCATTGCCTGATTTCTTCAGTTTCAAATCTGTTCACTCTTTTAGCGCTAGTGTAGTGTGCAGTCGCATGGTGTTGAATGACACAACGTTTGGAAGAAACGCATTTTGTAGAAATGATTGTCAGATAGATTGAATAGCTGACACCATTTCCTATTCTACCTGCAATGCTCAGTGTTTCACGTCCCTGAATACATCCCTGTAGGTACACCACTAACACAGAGACAGAAGATGGAGAACTGCCTGCCACAGATGGAAAACTGCCTGCCACAGATGGAAAACTGTGATGCATGGTGTATACTAGCTGGCTGTATCATAGTTTCCCTGAAGCCCTCTATAGTAGATTAAAGATGTGTTAAAGGTTTTCTGTCATTTCAGCCAGTCGTTTTGAAAGTAGCGCTCACGAGCGAAAACATATCCTCAAGGTGTGCACAATTGTGTACGTCATCCATTTCGTATAAGTTACGTCGTGCAATTCGTATGATATGTTACGAATTTGTATGCGCTTAAGATCCCGTTCAATCTCTTTTAAGATGCATTATGCATACTAGCTTGTTTCTCTTGCTGTATCATTCTGTTTCCCTGAAGCCCTCCATAGTAGATTAAGTGACTTGTTCCAATAGATCCTAGTGGAGTCAATAACCTCATGGTAGTGTTAGGAAATGTCAGTTTAGATGGCATATTATGCCTAACCCCATTCTCCGGTCTTGCAGTCTAAGAATTGAGCACTACCACACTTTGGGTGATGTTTCCACACTTTGGGTGATGTTTCCACTGTTTGGGTGATGTTTGGCTATGGCTGCTGTATGTGGTCTCACAGGTAGAGTACAACTAAATAAATGAATGGGACGCCATTCACCCTACCCGGAAACCCGCCTAATGTGTGTTTTATTGACCGTAGACTACAAGACCGGAGGTTAGACTGCTCAACTACTGCAGTAGCTAGCTATACTTTCAATGCTACTGAGGCAATCTTTGTTTGGAGTTGATTAAAGGAAGTGTGTGGCTAACCTACAGTCTTTGGTTCAGGACTTCAGGATGCCATGTGGTGATGAGAGATGGGCGCTTGGTGTGCTTCTGCATGGATACTGGATGGTCTGATGTGGGACTCAAGTCACATGATGGACCTTTGTGTACCCTGTCCATTGAGTTGGCGTTTTAGTCCAGGACAAGGGCTGTGTGTGTGGGAAACCGCCCCTCCCCTAAACTTTCCGGTAGTAACTGGTTTCCAATCATTATTACCTAGATGATGGAAGACAGTAGGAGTACAGGCCTTGGTAAGGTATGGAATGATCTGGTTATGTCTGCAATTGGTGTATCCCTCAGTGGTCGATTCAGAAATCACAAGGTTTGAGTGGGAAAAGACACCATGGAGAATGTCGTCACTTTCATATAGTAGCGTCTTTTCACCACAGAGGGGCACTGTTTCACTGTATGCTACTGGGTCCTCCTGATGGGGGACGGTGTGACTATTCTGTTATTGAATTTTCTAGATTTCGATTTTTGGAATCTTAATCCATACTAAAATCTCTTACACTTACTGAAGTCAGGAGTTAGGCCTACTGTGTACATCATTACGATTGACAATGTGGTAAGGAGAGCAACTATTAAGTATTTCATGAAGAAGCACACACACATGCAACTGCAATATGTTTTTATAAGCAAACAAAGGAATAATATTACAAAGGAACAATATTTCCAAGGAACGGCAATAATATTAACATTTTTACATTTACATTTGAGTTATTTAGCAGACGCTCTTATCCAGAGCGACTTACAGTTAGTGAGTGCATACATAATTTTTTATTTTTCATACCGGCCCCCCGTGGGAATCGAACCCACAACCCTGGCGTTGCAAACGCCATGCTCTACCAACTGAGCTACATCCCTGCCGGCCATTCCCTCCCCTACCCTGGACGACGCTGGGCCAATTGTGCGCCGCCCCATGGGTCTAAATATATATTTTGTACAAAAGCAAGATATAATGGCAAAATGGAATCAGAAATAGAAAAGGCCCCTGAGCAATACTAATTCCTTGTACAGAGGCAAACAAACAAACCCTTCAGCAACAGTTGAGAAGAGTGGAGTAGGTAGAAGTTGTCCCTAACCACTGATACAGGGTCAGATCTTATCTCCCTTGGTGTAATGATTGAGGGTAGGTGATACGGTGTCCATATTAGGAAGTTGCCCTAATATGGACAGGAACCGGTCCTAATATGGACACCGTAAGGAAATCAACCATCATCATCCTTAGTAGCCAGCAACTTCTATCTACAGAGAAAAATAGTAGTAATGAACACAGATGGTGAATGGAGGCTATTGAGTTGCCCTTTATATCACAATAACGATTTTGGCTAGCAATTTGCAACAGTTCTACCACAGCCTGAAACGTTGTATAGCTGACTCTATACTGGATAACATATCAATTTACGTCAGCACTCGTAGGATGTGTAGTCATTGTTCCCCATTCTGTAAGGTCTACAGACAATGTAGCCAAGCCAGGGTGCCTTGGTTGGATGAAAATGTGCCACTGTCCTAACATATTACCCACTGCAGGTTGCACTTGTAAACGAACAACACCATGTAATATTGTAATCTCAAATGAAGTATAATAAGCATGAGAAATCTACAAAACATGTTTTGTTTTTTTTAAGCTAAGGTCAGATTTGAAAGTAGTAAAAAGAAACATGGAAAAAGTTTACAAAAAATCTGTATCACTAAGCAAAGATACAGCGCCCACTCATCATAGAGGTTGAAGCCAGATTATGGAGCCTGTGCTCACCTTCACACATAACAGTATTGGGAACCACTGCTCTGTCAATTGCAAATAAAATGTTATGGAATACAAAATGTAAGGACAATCCAATACATATGTTTATATAATGGTTCTTTCTACCTGTTGATGTAGCTGTGGACAGATATGTATGTGCTTAAGCCAACTCCTCTGACTTGTTGTCATGTACGGCATGGCAAGACAACATTGAGTGTCAGAGGGGTTGGCAAAAATGCATCCATATCTGGAACAGGCTATTGATGCTGTGCAGATCAAAGGCTGTGTTTACACAGTCACCCCAATTCTGATTATTGTTTTCACTAATTGGTCTTATGACCAATCAGATCAGCTCTGAAAAATATTTGATGTGAAAAGATCTGATGTGGTTGGTCAAAAGACCAATTAGTGGAAAAAAATATCAGAATTGGACTGCCTGTGTAAACACAGCCAAAGAAATCCTTTAAAATTAATCAATTATTAATTGTTCTAATTACTAATATTATGGTGCAGATGTGCCTCATGTCACTGTTCTGTGGTTTGAGTGTATTCTTTACCTTCTGTCCCAGAAGTATGACGCAATTGCCTTGTTAGTACAGTATGTATCAATCTTTCTTGGGGCCATTTTGTCCTCCTGGTCACTGTTGCTATGCTTACCAGAGTTGGTGATCAGAGAGTTTTGTTTATTAGAATGCAGGTTTATGAAAAGAGGTGCCACTAACTGAGATCAGGGTTATGTTCATTAGGGAATGCAATGGAAAACGTTTAAAAACGTGGTCAGACAGGTAATGGCTAAGAGTCTCTTTAGCTGTGTTATTTCCATCCAAAGCAGTATACACTCACTGGCCAGTTTATTAGGTACACTCGTCTAGTACCGGGTCAGACCCCCAGTTGCCTCCAGAACAGTCTACATTTTCTGGGGCAATCTACAAGGTGTCAGAAACGTTTCACAGAGATGTTGGTCCATGCTGAGGCGATGACATCACACATTTGCTGCAGATTGGACCGCGGTACAGTAATACTGTGAACAGCCCGTTCCATCTCATCCCAATGATGCTCTATTGGGTTGAGGTCTGGGGACTGCGCAGGCCACTCAAGTAAACTGAACTCGCTGTCATGTCCCAGGCAATGTTTTTCCACTCCTCAATTGTCCAGTGTTGTTGATCGCATGCCCATTGGAGCTGCTTCTTCTTGTTTTAAGCTGATAGGAGTGGAACCCGGTGTGGTCGTCTTCTGCAATAGCCCATTTGTGACAA